GTACGTTGACATTAGACATTACTCAAAATGTTATGCAAAATACGATGGCGTGTCGCGGTGGGCAAACGACAACAGCAACAAAAGTAACCACAATATGTTGAATTTCTAATTAAAGAATTTTTAGTGGATTTCTTGTTAAAAGCCCTTTTTTGGGTGTGTGTGAAAAGCCAAAACGAAATATGGAAGTCAAGACCCTATAGCTTGTTTGTATTGCAGCTAGAATTTATGTCATTTTGTACGTTGTTTTATTCCGAAAAGTAAATACCATTTGTTTGATAACAGTAAATTTTATTTTAATTAACTGGCTTGGACTTTTAATTATAAATTCATCTCAGATTCATTTCATTGTTTTCTTTCTGCAACATTTTAATTGCATAATTGTAAACCAACTTTTAATTTCGCAAGTCATTTAAAATTCATGCGATACATATACAATTTATTAACGGCTCATATTGTAAACAAACAAACAGTCTTGCACTCCTTATTTTATTCGAACTTTTTCAATATTGTGGAAACATTTTGGGTATTACTTTAATATAAAACAACAAAATGTATAATAAACTAAGATATTACCATTAGTTTAAATATAAAAAAAAAGTTTATAAAGAGCGATTTATAACAAGGACCTAGAGACTCAAACATAACATACTTATAGACTACTTAATTGCATTTTAAAGTAAATTTTCTATTCTTTTTTTTACCATATAGGCCAATCAAACTTTATCCGCGTGTGGTTAGATTATAATTATCTGTGAACGGGGCCATGTGCCCAACACCTTTGTGTGGTTCATCTAATGCAGTATTTATGGGGCGAAAATTAAACTGCGTATACGTAATATTACGTATGCGCCTCCAAGGCTGGCAGTTACTTTTGACATTTGATTACGGCACGCATTACGCCAAAAAGCTGCAACTGAAACGAGGCGAACTGTAGGAAAATGTCAAATTGCCATAGTTCCTGTCTTGTGTGTCATGTTCTTGGGCATGGGGCATGCAGCACATGGCATGCCTCAGAAAAAATATTACATAAAGGTATATAGTTATATATATCTTTTAATGGGAAATGACAACTCCAACAATGAGACAATACATTATGTACCGTCATTACAGTAATTTGCTTATGTAAACGACTTGACAGCCCCCTGTGGCAACCCGAAAATAAAATTAAAGGATGAGAATTGAATAAAACTCAATGAGCCTGCCAGCCTAGGCTGAAAAAACAACAATTTTTTAATGACTTCTGGCCGAGCATACCTATGGAGGCCTGTACATAAGTACCATGTGTACATAAGGGCTTATCTACTTGCAGGCACACATACACCTATATATACAGGGGCCATATAATGTGGTACATTAATCGATAATTGCATTTTTTCGTTTCCTTTTTTTTTTGTTGGCACTGTTGCCGTTTCGCCCATTTCTTTTGCCACTTTTCATGCGTTGTCTCTCTCATGGCGCATGCCATTTGCATTTCGTTAAGCGTATGTGTGTGTAAATGAGTTTCCGTGTTTAATTGCTTCAATTTTTTCGGTTAGTGTGGGCTAAAGGTATGAGCAACCCAACCGAACAACAACAACAAATATACAAACAAAAAATGCACCCCACAAAATGCAAATAAATCATACGCCCCGTTGCGTCGGGTCACAATTAGTTTAGCCATTTGGCTTTAATAGCTAACTTTGATTAAACGCACTTTCGTTTTTGTTTGTCAGTCGGTTGTTGTAGGTTTTAGGGCACCGCACCGCAGCGACCCTAGAGCAAACAAACGGACAGACAGGACGACAGCCCAACTGATAGGATGGGCAGACGGAAAGCGAACCCAACCCGATCCCTATCCGTATCCCTCCAGTCCACCAGTCCACCAGCCCACCTGACGTGTCACGTTGCGTTGCCTTGAATGGCAAACACTCTCGCACACTATCACCTATTCAAAAGCACACACACACACACCCGGTCATAGGTCATAGGCCACCCACCCATCGACATCGTCTAAGCCAGCGACATATATACACACACTTTTCTTCTATTTTCCATGTACAGGTATCACTGGCATAGACTCATTAGGCTTGGCTGCCTTAAAGAAACTTAAAGACTTAAGTTTAAAATATCCACAAAAATATTTAGGGCTTAAAAATCCACTTTGAAGGAGTCTTAAAGTATGTAGTGAATAAAATAACGTCTTCTTTTGTAATATGGATCCGAATTCGAACTATATTGTTGCATCCTTTTGACACTTTAAGCCCTATTGGTTTCCTTAGCACCTCCAATTTTGGATTGATTAAATGGAGAAATAGTTCCCTTCAATTTATATCAGCACAAGGTTTCTTTTTTAGTTAATTGTGTTTTGTAAGATTATCATGATTAAAAAAGAATTTAAAATATCGAACAATGAGCTAAAAATCCATAAATCACCTTCACCCACTTCGAGGTGCCACTGTAAATTTGTCGGCTAGCGAAAAATTCTATTTAGCATACATTCAGGCGCTGCTTGCTTGGCATAATGTGAACGCGGGCAGACAGCAATGATGGCAATAGCTAGCAACACCAGACCCAGAAGCAGAAGGAGTACCCAAACCCAAACCCAAGCCCAGAAACAGAACCCAAACCCGAAACGAAAACAGCATTGAAATCCCGCCTTGCGGCCGTCGACGTCGTCATCTTCATACGCAATGTGTGTCGCCCCGACCACAGGCACAAAACAAACGCACACTCTTGCAGGCCAAAAACAAAACGAATAGACATTGCGTGCGTGCACTATACAGTACACTGTACACTGTATACTGTATGTATGTGTGAGTGCATCTGGCAGACCCAGAAGAAGAACCCCTGGCATTTCGCCTGTGCGTAGGGTTTCCTTCGCTGGAAACACACGCACCCTTCTTCGTCCACAGATGGTCGACTGCAATTTGTGGTTCGGTTTGTAATGAATAGGAATTACAAGTTAAACAAGCAGGGAGTGGATAAGCCACGGCTAATTGATACAATACAATATACAATCGATTGGTGGGACGTGGCTTTATTCCGAGGGGCTTTCGAAATTAGCTGGCCAACAGCTGTGATTTTTTAATAACGCCATAATGACATAATCGCTGGCTTAATGTTTAGGAATGTTAACTTCCCATAGTGAATAAATAATTACATGAATCATGTCCTGGTATAAAAATAAAATGCACTTTTTGATAATTCTTAAAAAATTGGACAATCACTAGCTAAATTTTTAATATCTGAAGCTTAAATTTAAATAAATTGGAGGGTAATTAAAAGACAATAATTTATTTTTAGATAAAACGGGTTTATATTTTTTCATTTTATTTTTTAAACACCTCTTTTTGATCTCTTATATTAAAATTTTAAATTATTAAAGTTCCTTAAAAAATTATAATGAAGTATTTACTTAACAAATTTAATCATCTATCATGCGTAACCTAAATCCATTTTCTTGAAGAGCATTTACGTTTCGTGCAGATCCCGTTCCGTGTGCGCTGAATTTTTTAACGACAAAATGCAGGCGTGTGTCTGTGGACTGGTTGCATTTTAAAGTTTGAGTTTTGTACGTCCCGTGCGTGCATTCACCTCGTTTTTTCGCCTTTTTTTTCGGTGCGTGAGGCAGGTGGGAAAAGCGAGGAAATGCGGGGGTAAGACGGAGGGGCGGGAAAGCGGTGGCGCAACGTTGACGTCGCAACCCCCGAAGCGCTAACACAGCGACAACGGCAACGACAACAACAACGACGACGACGACCCTGTTTATTTGAGCGCTTAAAAAACTGCAGTTGCAGTTGCAGCTGGGAAAGCAATGCGATTTTTACACTGCGAAAAGTTTGAACATGCCGCTCCACTTTTGCGCCGGAATGAGCAGCAGCAGCTGCAGTGCGTCGCTGGCCCCCCAATCCTTCCCCGTCTCCTTCTCCTGCTGCTCCACTTGAGCCCCAAGTTGCCATTCCCCAAACGCACGCACCGAACACACGCACTTCTGAGCAACCAGGACGGAGGGGCCAGCGACAAGGACATCGGGGTGGTGCTGGAATTTCAAAGCCCCCACCTCCTTTGTTTCAACTTCCGGTTTTGAATATGCATACGCCTAGTTATTTTCTACCTTATTTTTTGGCAGTAAAAATGCTACAAAATGCCGGGATTTCCCGCCCTTTGTCTACCATATGTATTTCATATTTCGTCTCATATGTATTTTTTTCCTTCTTCTTCCGCTGGCCCTCCTTTAATTCGCATTTCGTGTGAGTTGACGCGTAGCCTTTTACCATATGCGCAAAAGTTTTGCTTTTTGAACCACGCATGCCTGCCCCTTCAAGTGGCGGGGTTAGGCTCCAGCCACATTCTCCCACTCTCCTGGCCAAAAGGCATTTTGCATTAAATTGCATAACTTTTGTGCGGCAATTAGAGTTCTCGGGCTGGCCAAGACGGATGTGTGTTCAAGGAAATCCAGCCAGTCGCCTCAATGCAAACATACAAATCTATCAATTTTCCACTCGCACACATTTCGTATTCAATAATTACGCATACGCAGCGTGTGCCCCTCTTAAGTATAGGGCTACCATTTCTTTTTCTTTTCGTTTCTTTTCTTTTCGATTTTTGTATGCATTTTTCTCCTATACTTAGTGGCATTGCATTTCAATTAAGTAATTTCTGTCTGCTAAAATTCCCAGGAGCAAAGCTGCAAAAGGGTTTGGGTCGACTAAAGGCAAAAAAAAAGTGGTTCATTAATTGCCACAGCTAGGCAAATTATAGTTTATTAAGCCATGCAACTGCCATAACATTCTTGAACTGCCCTGGAACTTTTTTAAATAATTAATGTAATGGAGCTCAGCCTTGTCTGCAAATTTACAAATGTGTTTTAAGTCGTAAATTTCCATTCTGGAGAGCGATAATTTGTGAAATAAATAAGATTGTTGTTAGTTGTAATATTTTAATCGTATTTGTATTTTTAAAATTTCTAACTTTAAGGCTTTTTTACTAACTAATTTTGTATATGTTCTACTTTATTTCAGGCTTAGAACGCGTTGCTGAAGAATTTATGGGTCGCAGGCAATGGAAACATTATCAAGAGCAACTGACGCGCAGCTTTTGGAATATCGAGGAGCAACAGCCCATAGCAATACTAGCCGGTTCCGTGGACGAGCCACCGCAATACAACCACAGCAGCAAGGAGTTCAGCCAGAGCAGCAACCCCAACCACTGTAAAACAGAGAACCACCGTCTAGAAGAGCAGCACCACAACGGCAGCCTGCAGCTGGAAGAAGATTTTGGTGGGTGACAAATAACCCTTCCCTAATCCCCTGAAGATTACTAAATGTTTTGCAATCCACACTTCTTTACACAGAGAACAACCAAACATCACACGATTCATCACGTACAGCAACACCGGGAGCCACCAGTACACCATCACCACCGCCAGAACCCAACGATTGGAGACCGTCGGCCAAGTGCAATTTTTGTGTTAACGGTCGCCTGCTAACGGTCAACGCCCAGGGCGAATTGGTGGCCGAAACAGCAGCAACAGCCACTAGTAGCACTAGTAATAGCCACATTCATCAGGTGGGTCCATCTATCCCTAAGCCCGCTTATCACACTCTAAAAAAAATTTGGCCCTATTTAAAAAATCAACAGAAAGTTTAATGGCTCCAATAATATTTTTTCTTTTTTAATAATCCTTTATTTAATATTAAAATTTTGGTGAAGTTAAAAATTATCCTATTTATTCAAATACTCTTTCATCTTGTATTTAATGTTTAATCCTTACTTTAAAGATTTTTTAACCAATTTTATTTTTTTTGTTTTGAAGTTGGAGCTATTAACTTGTTATATTTGATTAAGAAATGTTAAGTTCTTTTTTTTAATAGACTTAAATTTGTTATACATTTTGTATTTAAATTTCTAAAACCAAAATGTATGCTTTAAAATATTTTTTCCGAAAGTGCCCTGAACTATTATTAACCTTAAACTTTTTCCCAGCAGCACGACAGTGACAGCAACTCGAGCGCATCACTGCCCCACCACAGCAGCAATAACAACAAGAGCAGCAACAACAGCAGTGGCAACAGGGCTCGCCACATTGCTGCTGCAACAGCAACAGCAACAGCGGCAACATCCGCCAACTCCCTCGAACTGTACAAGCTGCTGACCCAGCGGGCAGCCAAAATGACATCGATGGACTCGATGGCCGCCCAGCTGGCGCAATTCTCACTGCTGGCCGACTTGAACCTGATCAACTCGCTGGCCAGCCAGCAGCAACAACAACAGCAGCAGCAGCAACAACACCAGCAACAGATCGCTAGTTCGGTAACGCCAACTACCTCAGAAGTATCTGCAGCCGCAATCAGTCCCGCACTCAAAGATACACCCAGTCCCAGTGCCGATGCACCGCTCGATCTTAGCAGCAAGCCATCGCCGAACTCATCGATTAGCGGCGATGTGAAGTCCGTCAGGTGAGTGCCGAATTGGGGTTACCCCTTCCCTTGCGGGCGTGGGAGTTGCAGCACATAAATACCTATGTATAAGCATGTATTCAATATAAATCTGGCAATCTGCGCAAACGCCGAAAAAAAAATTAAAAAACCCCTAGCACAGTACATAAAAAAATACGGATTTTATGTAAAACAGAAAGGGAGAAAAAAAAGGGAAATTAAGAAATATTTCGGGTGGGAAACGAATACTCGTTGCTCTTTTTAAGTGGCTGATTAATTTGTTCTTTTTTATTTCAATCATTCAAGAAGAAGTTTTCATTATTAGAGTATCTTGAACATTTATTTTAAAAATTTCTTAAAAACACTAATTATTTGGTTCTGAATTATTTTCCACTTCTATCGTCACCAAGTAATGTTTTTAATAATAATACTTATACTCCATTTAATAAAAAGACAAATCAGTTCTTAAAAAAATACTTATTTATTCTTTTATCCTCTTAAAGTATTTCAAATATGGCAGTCCAACTAATCGAATCCCAAAACCTTACATATTAAGCCAATCAAAGTAATCAGCATAACTTCAAAAGCTCAAAATCATCGTAGGGTATAATGTTCACCGAAAAAAACCGGAAAAAACACCGAATCGTGTGCCAGACAATACATGAGATAATTGCACTTTGGGCGCTGGCCCGCCGCCTCTGACACTGCACTTACTGTAGCATACTTAACGGGGCAGCCGCACTCCTACACCCACACACACGCACACAGCCGTAAATGCTGATGCTGTGGCAGCTGAAGCTTTATTGTTGTGCGCCTATGTAAAAATTGTGCAATTATACCACTGCCCACGCCAGTGAGTGTGTGTGCTTTATGAAACGATGCCGAAAATTACACATACGCCCCGTTGCAGCCACGCTTAATTACCAGCGTTAGGCAGGTGTGCTGCATAAATTTACATAAAATCTCCAAAAAAAACACAAAAAAAAAGAAAAGATTATATACGTAAGCAGAAAGAAAGAATACTGGATTTATGTATTCCGTTTTGTGTGGCTGCATCTTAACTCCTTCAGCGGATCCGCAATCTTTTTTCAATTCGCTTTTCGTTGGTTTTTTTTTGTGTTTTGTTGCCTGCTATTTTTTTAATTACTCTAAAATGTTCAGCAGCACCTTTTATTATTACTTTGGGCATAGGTGTAGGTGTGTAGGTGTGCACTTCAGACGACACAGCGTGTGCATAATTTCGCAGCACTTCCCAACAATTTTTGTCATTACTTTTTTCGGTGGGATTTTTTGTTGTTTGCGGTTTGGTTCTGGGTTCTGGTTTGGTTCATTCTCCTCCTTTTTTACGTTTGCTCCTTGGCTGATGCACCGGAGACTGTGGCAACGATGGCGGCTGCCACTTGAGCCGCAAAGCACGAGTCCTTGTCTATTGTCTAAAGCATGGCCAAGTGTTTGTTAGCAGCCGCCATCGTCGCCATGCACCATCTCGTACACCTATTTTAATTGTCACACACAAAAAAACCAAGAAGGATGTGTCAAAAAAATGTACAAAAAACCATGAATACATAAGGGGTTTAGAGGAAGTGAAAAAAGGAGCGATGGGAGCATGGCAAGTCAGATTTAAGCAAGGAAAGGCATACAAATGTAACGAAGAAAATCCAGACAGTAGACGTTTTCAAAGAAGAGATTTTTAATCATTTTCTTACACGAACTTATGCATTTTATTTCCAATATTAAAGTATTTATTTGGGATTTATCAACTTCGTTTACTCATTGTTAATTCATTTATTCAATTACGAAATTTGTTCATTTTATAAATTTAGCTTATTATTTTTACTACATTTTCTATATTCAATTAATATTTAAGTTAATTTGAAAAATCCCTTTGTTTGAGGACTCATCTATTCCTTAAATGTAGGGCTTTTCTAATTAGCCAATGTAAATAGGAGTTTTGTTGTACTCCCTTAACATGTGATGAAGGCATTAAACTACGATCGACCAGAGTGTTCATAAATGGGGGCCAACCAGATGACCGAGACCCCACCTCACACCCCCAGAACCACCCCACAGCCACCCACTCAGACCATCAAACCACTTGAAGCACAAAAGCCACTGACGCTGCAATTTTTGGAGTTTTTTTTTCGTCAAGCGTTTATTATTACAGATTTTTTTCAGGCTGCTGATGCTGAGGATGATGAGACGGCATCGCTCCTCGAAGCAGCAGCAGCTGAAGCAGCGACGTCGACGTCGCCCAGCGCAGCAGACAAAAATGAGTGCATCATATCGATCGCTTTTTTTTGCAAGCTGCGTTTTACTTTCTCAATGTGTGTGTGTGTGTGCACTGAAAAACAACCTTTTTAGGAACTCAAATTTTTTAATTAATCGTTCTTGAGGTGCATAATTAAAATTGGTTTCAAATTTAACCGTTTTGGGAATCCCAAAAATTAATATTAGTTAATATTACCCTTTTACCAAAATTAAATGGTGGATTTTGAAGACCAACAAAATTAATCTTTCTTAGTATTAACAGATAAGGGGTAGAAACGTCTTAAAAAAACATAATTTTTTGTTGAAAACTAATATTTCATTATAATCGCCAGAGATAGGGGATAAATGGCCTAAGCCGAGAAAAAATTCTAAAGTGTAATTCAGCTTTTATTGGTTTTTCTCCCTGTGTATCAGTGTCAGTGTTTTTTCGTATTTTTGGTCTTTCTTCTTTGCTACTTTTTTCTATGCACTTTCGGTGGGTTAAGAGGGAGGTGGGGGAGAAGGTGGTAAGCGGGGGATTGTCGCTGGGTATATATTCATTATTTTTCGTTTACGAAAAATTCTCCCCACGCACACACCGAAAAAAACGAGAGAGATTGCGAACGTAATAACTGGCAAACAGTGACGACGACGTCGACGTCGGCAGCGCAGTCGGCTGCGTTTGGCCCCAAAAAATACACACAACAACAGCAAAAAGTACAAAAAATGAGGAGAAATATATAAGGTACAACAACAATAACAACAACCAGAAAAAGGTTAATGCGTGCACTGGCCATTGCGATTGTTATTGTTGCAGGGCAGCAATTTTTTAACGGTTTCATGGATCCCCCTCGGTTTCATTATTTTATTTTTGCAGCTCCTTTCCCTTCACCACTCTCATTCACTTTTTTTTGTCATATTTTTGTCATTTCAATGAGTGTTGGATGGTTGCTCGATTCGGGCTTGCACAATTATGGACCCATTTAATTTGGTTCCAAGAATGTATTGCCTTTTTTTCTTTAATATCCAATTTATTCGAGATCAAGAACATAACATCTAGTCAGAATGGAAGATAACATTTTTAGTAGGGATGTGTCTCTAAAAACTTTTTTTACCCCATTTTGGTTAATAGAGATTTTAGGGACACCTCCTATAAAAAAATGTAAATATATGTTTTGTTTAAATATCAATTTAATATTAAACTGTTGATAGTTATCATAGCAAAGCTTTCACTTCTGGTGAAATTGGAAAACGTTGAACACTGGTTAAAGAACAATCTAATTAGATAATAAAATAAATAAGTAGAGTACTGAGTATCCTTTGATCCATAACATTCATTTGTGACAAGTTCAAAGTTACACATATACTTCAGTTTGATTATTTTTCCAGCTGTTGAGTGGCTATTTGTTTTGATTTAAAACAGGGTATAACAAGGTCCTTTAAAACTTTTTTGATTCTTTTTTGAAGCATTCCTGATTGCCGTTATATGCGTGAGTGAATGAGCGAGATAGAAACAAAAATAAAGTAAGTGCATACAAAAATGCAGCTGCAGTGACGTCGACGTCGACAGCAACGTCGAAAAAAAAATGAGTGCATATCTTCCGAAAAAATGCAACTGCAATGAATGTGTGTGTGAGGTTGGGCTCTTGTATGGGTTGATGTATGCACAAGTATGTGTGTTTGGGGGGAGGGTGGTAGGGGGTGGCGGGTTCGCTGCGCACGCATCAAGTGTAGGCGCTGTGGGGCGGACTGCATTGGCAACAAAAACAAACATGCAATTGCATTCATACCCATACACACACACACACACATGCACTTAATGCATTTTTAACAAAATTGCATTCGACGTTGTCAACACACACACACGTTCATGCACACAAAAAAAAAATGCCAGCTTGGAACGAGGGACAGTTGACGGCATTGTGCGCCCGTCGGTGCCAGCGGCAGCGGCAGCGGCTTCCTGCCGCCCCTCCCCCAGTCCCGCTCCCCCACCCCTTTTCCAGAACCACCCCCTCACACCCTAACCCATTAACCCCCACATTCCATTCCTCCAGTGAAATGCCAACCAGGCTCCCCTCCCTTCGAGTACGCCCCTGGCATATTTAGCGGCCACCATGCACGCAACCAAATTGAAAGACACAAAAAAATGCAGCAAAATGCGAAAAAATCAAAATCGAAAATATTTTAAAAAGACTTTGAAATGAAAAGGGCAACACCAGAGGCTACTGGCATGTTTAGTTGGGCCCGAGACCCTTTTAAATTTTAATATTAATTTCTGGAAAAAAAAACTATATGACTACGTCATATAAATTAATAATATAAATAATAAAGCAAGAATTGTTCCTATTGAGCAAATAAAATATTTTTTTTTTTTATTGTACCCACCCATAATAATAATCGTTGCCTTTAAGTCTGTAGTTTTTTATGGATATTCCCTACTATTGACGGTTATTAACATATATTCACAATTTCGAAAGCTGGAAAATTGAATAGGTTATTATAACATTTATTTTGAAATTGCTTAAAATTTAATTTAATAATTTTCGCCCAATCGCTTTTCAAATTATTTTCTTAATAACTTGGTAATGTTAATTTGAGAACAAGATGTTTTATGGTTTTGAGATTACAGTAAGCATGTAATTATATATTTATGTAATTGTAATTAAAAAGGACATGACACCATTAATTTCACATGACAATGGGCTTGGCCTCTGCCTTGGAATCACACCTCAATTAACGTGTTTGCACAATTACCTAGCCAAATATAATTGTTGTTAAAGCCGAAATAAAAAATTTGTCTGTTGCCGGATAAACCAAAAAATATAACCAACATTTGTGGGGGTTGAGGGGGTGCAGTGGGTTTTATATGTTAACGTATGTACGTATGACCATAGGCAAACAAAAGGTGTGGGATGAACCGACAAAAATGCAATATGCGCATAACAACAACAGCCAAAGAAATGCATTACAGTTGCGTCAAAATTACAACAACAACAAAAAATGGGAAATAAAAAACTGCACACACACAGGCAAAAAAAAATCAACCCTTTCGCTGGCGCTGCCACAAATTAAAACAAAATGTCAGAAAAATTGCAACGCCAACGGAAAAAAGAGGAAAAAAGAAGGGAAAATAGGGTTTGAGGTTCGTTTTTTTTTTTTTTTCCTTTTTGCTTTTTTTGGGTGCAAATGAATGCTCTCCACATGCGTGTGCAGCGGCAAAAACAACAAAGGGCGGCAACAAATGCATGCATGTTGTACAACAACTGCAGCGGCAGCGGCAGCGACGTCGACTGCCGTTGCAATGGCAAATTGCAATTGAAGTGCAGCCAAAAGGTAAACGACACCAACGAAAAAATCCAAACGACATTGAAATGACATTTTTCATTTATTTTTCGCGCGCGCCATCCTTTGCATGGGGGAATCCCACGCCCCATTTTTCAGCTCTGCGCAATTATGCAAATTTTTTTTTTCGCCTCTCCTCTTTTTTTTTTGGTAAATTATTTTGTATATGCAAAATGAGCAAAAATGCGAAAAACTGTCGCCATTAATGATGATGCCACCGCCCATAGCCCAATCCACTTACGGTCAGCCTGGCCACGCCTCCACTTTCCGCCCCCTATTAACCTGCCTCTGACCCTCCCACTTTCACCGCCTACCCCTCCCCCTTCACACCAAAAAAAAAAACCAACAGCTATCATACAGTTTAACATTCACTGCCACCTGCTGCCGCTTTCGCTTGGCTCTTTTTCTTGTTCTTCCTCTAGCCTGCATTTCTTTTTTTTTTTTGTGTGTTGTCTGCACAATTTTCAGACATTTTCCAGACGCGCAAGGACTCCGAAACAAATGGGCGCAGGGCAGAGAGGAGGGGGTGGCGAAAAAAAAGTAAAAAGTTGCTATGACTTTGCCATCAACTTTTGCCAGGGCCGCCTCCTGTTGTGCCACAGCCCTCAGCGAAGGGCGCCAAAGAAGCTGTGCGTTTTACCCCCTCGCCTCCCTGCCTGCCACCCTGCCACGCCCCCTTCTTTGCCGGTGCAATGTCCCCAGCCGCCCACGAAAAAAAAGAAAGGGTCTCGAGCTCGTCTCGTTTCTGGTTGCGCATAAAGAAAAGAAATATTTCGTCCAGCTTCGGCACTCGCAAAAAATGAGATTTTAGAAAAACGAAAAATACACTAAGCTTTTTTTGGAATTTTTTTTTAAATAGTTTTTTCAAAATTAACTTAAAAATCTTTTTAAAAAATTTAAGAGAAGACTTGCTTTTTATAACATTTAAAACACTTTTAAACACTGAAATAATTTAAAATCTTATTGTTCGAGAAGAATTAAATGAAATAAGACTTTCGATAATGAAATTCGATTGTTCTTAACTAATTTTAAATTCCCTTTTAAAAGTAGTATGCATTTTTAAAAAATCTTTTTATGTATAGAATTAGTTTTCTACAGTGTAACGCCGTTGTTGTTGTCGGAAAACAAAAGTTGCCTCTTCCTGATGAGTTAGTGGGAGTAGAAGGAAATGCGCTTGGACTCACGCTCGTGCTGGCATTAAGTGAAAAATGTTTATTCTTTTTTCTTTTCTGCGAAATGTCCCTTCTTGGTTTTCCTTTTTTTTCGGGATTCGTCTAATGAACTTCAAAAACATATTTGGTCCCAAACTCGCAGTCACCCCCCCACCGATCTCCACCCGGCCAGACTCCCCTGACTTGTCATCTTTTGTCTTTTCCCGAAAAAAATGGCCACCGAAATGGGGAAAAAAAAGAAAAGATTGTATAGCATCCTTGGCTTTGCCTTTGACACCAGTGTCTTCTTTTCCTCGCTGACTGCTGCAGACATTTAAGAAGCACTCATTGTCAGTCCTCTTGAGTGTCTGAGTGTGTGCGAGTGTTGGTGTGACTGTGTGTGTGTGAGTGTGCCGAAAAAAAGGAGTGCTTTCAACTAAGCCAAAAAGGGAAGTGGCTGTCAAGTTCTTTGATGGTGCTGCCAAAAAATATTACCCTCGAAGCCTGAACCCACTGACGAAAATTGCCGGGAGATAAAAGTTGATTGACTTGCTGACTTTTTGGCGGGTGAGATTGGGCGGTTGTGCACCGAAGGTCCCTGTATCGTATATTTAAGGAAAATCCAAACAGAAATGTCAGAAAAATCGTATCTTATCGCAACACCTAAGTGGCTGTAAAGTAAAATATGACGTTTATAAATCTACAATAAACCAATCATCACTTGCTTATATTTGTTTTAAGTTAGACTGTACCGAATTCTACTATTCACTGTATTGATAGATAAGCTGCATTTGATAATAACAGTTTTGGTCTTACAAAAGTAAAATAAAAACGTACTTCTAAAAACTCTACAACTATAGATTACGTGATATACGTTTACTTTTTGTCCTATTATATTTTGGTTCCTATATTGTGACTAATAGGATGAACTAAAAATGCGGGAAATAATAAATGCCCTATTACTTCACACTTCTTAATACTTCATAATATTACAAGATTAAAAATGCTTATATGTACATATAAATAACATATTTTGCTTCCCTCTTTTATAAAAACCAGACAGAAAATCCAATTTTAAAACTTAAGTATATCTTTAAAAACCCTTTTAAAAGATCACCTAAGGCTTTTATATTGAAATCTATTTTTTGTTCAATCTCTTGCAGAGCCTGTGCCACGCCCACGCCGTCAGGAAGGAGGGCGTACAGTGAGGAGGACTTGAGCCGGGCGCTGCAGGACGTGGTGGCCAACAAGCTGGGTCCCCGGAAGGCGGCCAGCCAGCACCATGTGCCGCGCTCCATTCTGGTCAACCGGCTGTTCAAGATGCAAAACGACCTGGACCAGGAACCGGATGGCGATGAGCCCGAGGACTCCAACGACGATGGCGAAGCGGAGGTGGACAGCAATGCCTCCACTCCGGCGCCGGCATATCCGGCGGACTTTGCCAGGGCGCAACTCCGCAAGCTGAGCCACCTGTCCGAGCACAATGGCAGCGATCTGGGCGAGGATCTGGACCGGGGATCGCCGAAAATGGGTCGCCATCCGGGCGGCAGCAGTGCCAGTGGCAATGCCGGCGGACTGCCCCCCAATCAGATGGATGCCAATCTCCTGCTGCACACACTGATGCTGGCTGCGGGAATTGGGGCAATGCCCAAGTTGGATGAATCGCAGACGGTGGGCGATCTGATCAAGGGTCTGCTGGTGGCCAACAGTGGCGGGATGATGAACGAGGGTCTGCTCAATCTGCTGTCCGCCAGTCAGGAGGGCAGCAATGGCAATGCCTCGTTGCTGCTGCAACAGCAACAGCAGCAGCAACATCATCAGCAGCAGCAGCAACATGTCACCGCCGCCTATCGACATCGCCTGCCCAAATCGGAGACTCCGGAAACGAACTCCTCGCTGGATGCCAACGATGCCAGCGAGGATCCCATACTGAAGATTCCGTCCTTCAAGGTCAGTGGTCCGGCCAGCAGCAGCAGCCTGTCGCCGGGCGGACCGCTGGGTGGTGGTCACCACCATCATCATCCGCTGAATAACAACAACAACAGCAACAGCCTCAGCATCAGCAACAACATCGGCAGCAGCAGCAACAGTCACCGGAACGGCAGCAATCGCAGTCCCCATTCCGCATCGCCCATGTTGGCAGCGGCCGTGGCCCAAGGTGGCTACTCCGGCGGCAACAGTCTGCTGGCCTCGTCCTCGTCTAGCATCCAAAAGATGATGGCCAGCAATATCCAGCGGCAGATCAACGAGCAGAGTGGCCAGGATAGCCTCAGGAATGGCAATGCCAGCGATTGCAGCAGCAACAACGGCGGCGGCTCCTCATCATCGTTGGGCTACAAGAAGCCGAGCATTTCGGTGGCCAAGATCATTGGCGGCACCGACACCTCCCGCTTCGGCGCCTCTCCCAATCTCCTCTCGCAGCAGCACCACCATCCCGGTCACCACCTGACCCACCAGCAGCAGCAGCAGCAACAGCTGAGCGCCCAGGAGGCAGCTGCTCTGGCAGCGGGCAAGGGAACGCGCCCGAAGAGGGGCAAGTACCGGAACTACGACCGCGACAGCCTGGTGGAGGCGGTCAAGGCGGTGCAGCGGGGAGAGATGTCCGTCCATCGGGCGGGAAGTTACTACGGAGTACCGCACTCCACCCTGGAGTACAAGGTCAAGGAGCGGCACCTGATGCGACCGCGCAAGCGGGAGCCCAAGCCTCAACCCGATCTGGTGGGCCTGACGGGACCGGCCAACAAGCTGCAACTGGACAAGCTGAAGGCCGGACCGCATGGTGGCTCCAAGCTGAGCAACGCCCTCAAGAACCAGAACAACCAGGCGGCGGCAGCGGCGGCGGCGGCAGCAGCAGCAGCGGCCGCTGCCACGCCCAACGGCCTGAAGCTGCCGCTCTACGAGACCGGCGCCCAGCAGCTGTCCGCCTTTCCGCCGAACATGTTCTGGCCGCAGCCGAATGCCACCAACGCCTATGGCCTGGACTTCAGTCGCATCACGGAGGCGATGCGGAATCCCCAGGCCGCCAACCACCATGGACAGATGAAGAGTGCTTTGGAGATGGCGGAGAACATGTACGATGGCATCATCCGGAAGACACTGCAGTCCAGCGAGGGCAATGGCAGTGGGGCGGCGGGCAACGGGAGCAGCAATGGCAATGGCCATGGACATGCCCTGCTCGATCAGTTGCTGGTGAAGAAGACCCCGCTGCCGTTCACCAACCATCGCAACAACGACTATGCCGCCACCTGTTCGAGTGCCAGCGGGGAGAGTGTGAAGCGATCGGGCAGTCCGCTGGGCACCTATGCGGACATCAAGCGGGAGCGGTTGAGCGCCGACAGCGGCGGCAGCAGCGACGAGGAGCATCACCACCAGCACCACCATCAGCACCACCACATCAACAACAACAACAGCGATCTGGCGCACAACAAGAACAAGAGTGGCGGCGGCGGTGGCAATGGCCAGGCCAATGGGAATGGCCGGAGCAGCCGGATGACTTCGCGGGATGACTCGGAAACGGATGCCAGCAGTTTGAAGAGCGGCGAGAGTGGCGGTGGCGGCGGTGGCCCCCAAAACCACAAAATTATGGATCTCAATGGCAGCAGCAGCAGTCACATCAAGTGTGAAACGGAGGCGGGATCGGAAAGGGGAACGGGAACGGGAGCGGACTTCACTGGCAGTCCCGCCGGACACACGTCCATACTGCACGAGAAGCTGGCACAGATCAAGGCCGAGCAGGTGGATCAGGTCGATCAGGTGGAACAGGCGGAGCAGTTATAGGAGCAGCCGATGGCCACGAATCCAGCGTTCGCCTGGCCACCGCTGGCCGCCCACTACTACAGCTTCTAGGGGGAAAAACACCAAATTAAGCCACGTTTTTTGATAGTACCATACAAAACACTATATAGAAATATATATAGACGTATATATTGCCAGCCAGCTGAACGATGTGGTAAATGTGCGCTAGCTCTTAGATAAATGTGTAATCAACTGCATAGAGAAAAACAAACAAAAACAAACAAAACAACAAAAAAAAAAAAAAAAACAGCAAGCAAACATACATTTGTGCCCCGGAGTGTACAATGTATATTTTTGTTTCGTTTTGACAATCGACAAATAGGCATTCTCTTGTACAAACTTTCTTAAAAGCAAAAACAAAAAAAACCAATCTAAAACCTTAAGACCAAAAACGAAATACTGAGCAAAAAACCAAGAACCATTTTCATTTTGCATTTTGCATTTTGTTTCGAACCGCATTTTTGTGTTGAATATATTTTTATTGAACAAAGCCAGCAGTCCAATGGGAAAATATATATAGCAGAAATATAAAGACAACAGCAAAGCAGTTACAAGCCAACAACTTAATCGACGTCTGTTTGGGTTGCTTTTTGGCCCCTGAGCTACGATTTTCACACATTCCATAAGAGTATCTTATGTTCCATATAGTTTCCTTCGATTCAAAGAGGGGTTTTGAAGTTATACAAATTCGTATGGTCATTGCCAGTCAAAACTTCAGCTCAAACAGGGCCAAGACCCCAGACATTCGTCTTCGACATAGACAGAATGAGTATAGCCAGCAACAACTACAATAACTACAACAAAGACCATAACAACTACAACAAACAACAAACAACAACATCAATATCCGATCAATAACAACCAACAAACCAAGCAATAATAATACAAGACTCTACAATACAAAGAAGAAACAGACACCAAATCAGTGAAATAGCAAAATTCAAAAGTAAAACCGAAAACAAAAAACTAAAAACAAAAAACCAAAACAAAATTATCCACGAAAATTCTACATTTTTTATGATTTCAAAAGATGAAAATACAAAACGGAAATCAATAAACAAAGCTGCCTTCACATTTACAAATTAAATAAATTAGTAAGCAAAGCGAGACAGAGCACACAAAATAATAAATCAAATTAAACGCAAACGCAGTGAGATGAACAAAAACTTCAAAAATAAGAGCCCCAAAATTCAACATTTATTTAGCAAAATCAAAAAACTAAAAAAAATCCAAATTTATTACCCCAAGACATTCTCTAACACACACAAATTAATTTTCATTTAAACAAATTTCACACATATTGAACTAAATTAAGCAAAATTAAAATGTTTCGGTGTTTATAAAATATATATAAAAAAATTCAAAAAAAAAATTATCTATGTTTAGGCCTTAAAACGGAAATTTGTATCGAAAATTTCAAGATTTTGGCTTAAAAGTAAAAAAAATTATTGTGAGAACACACATTTCATGTACAGTCGCCTAACCACCAAAAGTAAAAAGCATAAATATATAAAGACTTTATATTACTATATACTATATGATATATATTTGTATATTTATGTATGTGTGTGTCTTCATCACTACGCGTATACCTCAAACCAAACACATGATCATTTTGAGCAACTAAATATATTTAAATGTACTTATACACTCTACACACTCTTTTACAGGAGAGCAAAACATATTTACACAGTTAAACCCCCCTAATCTTTGGCCCTCCTTTCGACGTATCTATATTTCGTTTGACTTTGAAATTCTATCTATGGGTAAACAACTAACTAAATGTCTGCGTAAATGAAAAATAGATGAAAAAATATATAAATGTACCTAAAAACATATTTTGTGTGCTAGCTAGTAAGTGTCAAAAGAAAAAACATACAAAAACGATATACAATATATTTAAAAGAAGACGAAATAAGGAAAAATTGTCGGTAATATTTGAAAATATTTAGTAAATTATAATACAAGAAAAAATCAAAGTTATGGCAAAGAAAATTGTGGAAAATCATAAACGAAAATGCGTTTAATAATTACATTGAAATCATTTAAAGGCATTTAAAATAATTATAATTTCCACGATGCGAATGGATAAATAAAAACTATTTATTGGCTAATATCCCAAATTACATTTGATGTGCATAAATGTTGTGGTTTAGTATCAAAAACAAACGGAAAGCAAAATTAAAAGTTAAGGCTTAAAAAATATTTAAAAAAAAAATTAAATTATGCATTTGGTATAATAGAGGAGAGTTCTGCAAACCAAAAGGAATTAAAAAAATGTTTACTATATGAAGAATTAAAATGAAAAAAAGCAAAAGTAGGTAAAGAATGAATGGAAATAAATCAAAAAGTATTTATTGCTAATTTAATTATATTTGAAGTATACATACATATTTATTATATACATACATATATATTAGACACACTATCTGTGATTAATAATCCAAAATTTTGAAGAGCATTTTCTGAAATAATGTTGGCTAGGCATATGCAAAAAGACAAAACCAATGGATAAAGAAACCACACACATGTAAAAAATTGTAGACAGATCGGATAAAACCAAACTAAACCAAGCACAAGCTAAAAGCCTTATGCAGTTGACCCCAGAAATTGGAAACTGCATTTGGCCAAAAGAATTTCTTAAGCTACGGCACACATCACTAAAAAACAGAAACTGAATAAACAAAATAGACAAAAGTAAGCAGAAGACAAAACCGATGGTACTGTTCAGAACATATATAGTTGTATATATTTTGGAATAATGTTTACCAGTTCAAGTCAAAATTAAAAGAAAAAATAATGCAAAGTCTTTTATAATGCAAAATTATACACGATAAAATTCTGCAACATTTAAAAATTTAAAACAAAAACTTCGATGTAAAAAGAAAGAAAATCAAACTTAAAATAATAAACAAGATAAAGTGCAATTATACGGTTTAAATAAGCAAATTTAAGAAACAAACGTTATAAAAAAATATGTTAAAAGAAAGAAAATATTTCGAAGCAAGTTTAGCTTAAAATTCCAAGGCAACTGATAATGACAAGAAACATTTTCGAGGAAAACCAAGAAAACATTTACACAAACAGACAGCAACGTCCAGAAAGTACAGTGCGTTTCATAGCCAAATTAAGGGCAATAGAATTCTCTTCAAGCTGGATTTGTTAGCTTTGACTTAATCGAAATACTCTGTTGTTATAGGGATCTGAAACGCACTGTTTCCTCGGATATTTAGCCCTATCTAAATCAAGGTTTAGGGCCAGCAATAAAACCTTAACGAAAGATCACAACTGCAGAAACCAAGTCGAAAGTCGAAATGTCAACCTAGTGGTAGGTCTAAACACAAAAACAAAACAAACCAATCGAGTGTAATTGAGTAACAGCTTGAGAATGTTGAATTGTATAGAATTTTTGCGTGTTCACCTGGTTAAGGGGGCGTGGTTACGCCCCATTTTCGAGTCTAGGTGAACGGGCGAAAACGCTCAGGTACGTGTTTTATTTTTCGGAGAGAAACAAGATTGATTACCCATACATTACTTATTCTTTGTTTTACTACAACATAATAGTTAATATTTGTATAAAAACGATGAAAACGAGAAAGAAAACAAGCTAAAAATTGATATATTCATAATATAATTGTTTAAAATGGTTTGATGAGAGCGAGATGAAGAGAGAGTTTCTAGCGTGCTTAATGAAATTGCTCACATTTGTGTATAAAATCTAATTTGTTCAATGCGAATCAAAATTTGCTGAATATAAGTGCATATATATAATTAGAGTTTATTTTTGAGTTTAGTTTAGTACATAAAATGATTACGATTACCATTAATTATGATCTAACCGTAGGCAAATCAAAATTTCTTCACATAAATAAATCAACTTCTTTTTTTAAAATATTATATAGCCGTAACTATAATTATTATTCTATTATTATACCGATTACAAATATTTAGCGCGTTGTTAGCCTCGATTTATGGTTTGTACATATTAGACAACATTTTTATGGTATTCTCCTCTTTTTTTATTATTACTAGAATTATTACTCCCTATTTTTATTGACTTCTTAAATGGGCAACATCATTTGAACTATAGTGCAATTGTTTCAAACAAAACCAAGCAACCAACAACAAATATATTAACATTAAAGATTAATATAATTTACAAGCTTTCTTTGCCAATGCCAAGAAGGATGAATCAAGCATATGTTTACCATATGGATCGAAAATCAAAAATCATTTTAAGTGCACATAATTCTTTTAAATAGCAGTTAGACTACGCCTAGGTTTTTCATTATTATGCGCACGCTTCAGTCCAAAACCCGAAATTCTTCACATTCTCATTCGTTTAGATCAAAACATCACAAGCAGGAAAAAAAACTCAAAACTTTTCTCCTAAGTTCAACTTGAGCGACCGCAACAACTTAAGATCAGCAAAGATCACAAGCGAAAAATGCTAAGAAACAATAGCCCAGACGTGACAACAACCACAAAATAGCCCAGCACAGACAAACAACAACCAACAATAGCCCGAAAATAATTGAAACAAAAATTGAATTAAAAAAAAAACAAATAAAAAATAATTAATTAACAATCTTAATTAATATACAAAGTGGATAATAGATGTTTCCAAAGCTCAAATAAAATCCAAAACACCGCAACAACAGCCTAAAGTCGATTGTACTTTTCTTTTTCCTATCCACAAATACAACCAGCAAACAACAGCAGCAACCACAATTTTATTAAACAATAGTACTACTCTTACTACAGAACTTAAATAGCCACAAGTAAATAGAAATAGCCACAGCAATTAACTTTAACAAGAAGCCCGAAAACACAGATACACACAAAACCGTTTCTTCAAAACAGATTTGTATTCATAGCCTCATAACCGATACAATAGCCACTTAATTAGGATCGATCATAGCCAAGCAATAGAATCAGATACAAACTCAGAATCGGAAATAGGAAATCAGAAATCGGAAATTGGAAAAAAGAAGCAGCATCAAATCGAACTGCAAAGGCAAAACCATTATATCAATAATAGAAAAACAAACATAATTAATTAAAACAACAAAACCAATTTTTATTTCAATTATTAACTTTTAAATACAACAACAACAGATCCACACAGTTACAGTTACAACAACAACAATAGCCCTAGAAAAATAATATTCATAATTAATCAATCAATCCGTAAAACCAACAACTTCAATAGTTATAAGCAATTGGCATAAAAAAACGAAAAACAACCACAGAAAACTTAATTCTTAGCCAGGCAAAAGTTTTGAGAATATATTTCATTATTTTTACAAGAAACAAACAAACTGATGTAAGTACAATTCATAAAATTAGACTTTTGGTAAACTACAACAGAGAAAGTAGAGCAGAAAAACAAATTTTTTTTTGCATTTAAATAATTATTGCAAAATTAAAAATAAACGATTTTTTTAGTGGAGAACAAAAGCCAACAAGCAAATAAAAAAAACGCATTATTATTAGCAATAGCCCATAAGTACATCAAGTGTATTTCGCATTAAAGCTAATACACAAAAAAACAGAGATTTTTAAAAAAAGAAACAGAAAGTGAAGAAAAACTTAAAACTGCAGCAAAACATGTGAAATTTATGTTGTTCTGCGTTGAAAAAATAAATCCAAAATAAATATGTTTAATTTCATAAGTAATTTAAAAACATAATGAAATTTTGATTAATTTGATTTACACCAAGGTAAATGTAACAAATATATTGTAAACCTTAAATTAATATTTACAACGGCAAAAATTCTGTTTAGAAAGGCGTGCATAATTGTTATTATATTACACAGACACACATAACTAAGTTTAAGTTTATAATTTTCGTTATCTTTATTATTTACTTATTATGTTTTAAACGCAAAAAAAAACCAGATATATACAATATATTTACGAATTAAACGTTTATTAATAAAATGAAAAATATTTTAGTTAAACCATTTGTTTTTCGTTTGACTTTATAACTTTATCACCACAGGAGGCTTTCCGTTCACACATTGCAGAAGATAAGAAAAAATATGAATATTAAATTAAGCACAGTCTAACAATTGCAACAAGATACTTAATACCATTATACGCAATAGTTATAATTGACAGATGACAGAAATATGAATAAACCAAGCAATAGCCCAAAGTAAATATTGGCCGTGATAGGAGCCGAAAAAAACACCTTCTAACATGGCCAATATTTGCTCCATTTTCACATGCAAGAGATGAGCAACAACAATTGGCACTCAACAGATGCAATTACCAACAACAACAACAACAAACAGAATAACAACAAAAGGCAATTGATATTTTATTTTCGTTTAACTAAGTTTCGAATTTAGTTCTGTTCTTAAGACGAATCTCACCACTTTCGAGAATTGTTTTGGCTCCAACCCACGTAACCTTTTTGGAATATTCCGAACCAAAATCAATAATGGCAAAAACTAACAAAGACGAGCCAAGGGAATCGTATATCTAAACTCAACACAGCTTCAGGGACCAACTAAAGAAGAAATGATTTAAACAAAAATTAAATAAACAACTGGTAAATTAAAACTAAAATGTAAACACTAAAGTGTGACAAAAAAAACAAAATCTAAAATGAAGTTTTGAGGCATATCTAAAAAGAGAAAAAAAATTTAAAAAAAAATTCAAAAAAACATTTCCGAAAATTGTGAAACTATGCTAAATTATAAAGACTCAGAAAATCGTATGTGTGTACATAAAAGAAGGAGCAACCCTTTTGGTAATCTATATACATATATTATATATTTAGCGTGTCAAAAATAAATCTAAAGGAACAAAAAATATCTATATGCAAAAATACTTCAGGCAAAAAAAACTTTGGATAAATTCTGATTAAAATTGTATTTGTAAGACAAAACTGTATACGATATGCGAGGAAAATTTAAATTAAAAATGAATTAAGTGTAAAAAACATACATATTTGGATGGCGAACAACAAAAAAAGATAATGGAAGAGACCCCCTTAATTTAAATAGATCTAATTATTATTTCGCTTTGGCGTGGACACGCGAATGCCAAGTGGGATTCTCGGCAAATCGAATATCAAATGAAAAAAAACCAACCAAAATAAGGTAAATTCAAATTAGCAAAATTTTTGTCAACAAAAAAATGACCTAGTAAATGCTAAATTCAAATTTATAGTACATATTTGTGTATGTATGAGTGTATTGCATAAGTTCGATGTGAGTGTATTACAATTATTATTAGTATTATGCTTACCACTTTCGTTTCCAAGTTATTTTGTTCGTAAACAAAACAAAGTCTTAAACTAAATTAAAAGCCAATGACAAGAACAACAAAAACATGTGCTGACGTGCTGAATTCCAATTGAATTGCAACAAAAAAATGACATTACCAAAAGTAAAACATTTCGAACTAACTTAAATGTATGGCAAAAACATTGTAAAAAAGTATAAAAACAAACCAGTTGAGGATGACAAGGATACAGGCAAAGATTGCTTGAGGAAAAGATACGATTTGTGTATATGTGAACAAAATGAACAAAAATAGCAGGTATACAATAACTGTCAGAAACCAAACTAAAGAAATGAACAACTTGCAGGCGAGACAGAGGAAATACAAACCCCAAACAAAACTATTAACTTGTAATGATGTGAACTTGGAGCATACTCTCAGTATTTTTATGAATACTGTCAATAAAACATTAATAAAAGATTAATATAAGGCTGTTATGATTTATGGTGGATGGACACATTTAAATTTTATGGTTACAGGTAGTATATAAATTGGAACGGGACGGATCGTCATACTATATCATATAGCATCCACAGGAACCATTGAGAAAAAAAGGTACATACAATTATATCAACATTGTTTCTTAATATACATATATACTATACTTACTTCTCGAAGTTTTTTTTGCCTTAAATTAATTTTCGGATTGACTGAAAGGGTATTAAAAAGTCAGCTTGACAAAGTCATTTTCCTTTTGTTTTTCGATATCCCTTCAAAAATTAACGAAAAAAAAAATCCCTTTACTGTCAAAATAAAAATTTTCATTTTAAAGTTACAAAAAATTCTTAAATAGTACATTATTTTCGACTCGTTCAGATAATCGTCCATGTTTTTATAAAAGGAAAAAAAATAAAAAAATAGAAGAATTCTTAAATTGGTTGTAAAGTCAAGCCCCAAAATTCGGAAGCCTCTAGAATGACCATCCAAAGACTGAAGTGCGACCTCAGCCCCGAGGTGACCACCTGTCTGCGGCTGAAGGACAGTGTCCGTCCGGACTGCTGTCCCATCCGGGACCCGATTCCCTACGATGGCGAGTGTTTCGTGCGGGACATTGGCAAGGAGCTGGAGAAGTTGTCGCAGCGCCATGAGCGCATTTTTGTGAAGCGCCAGCGGCTGATGGAGATGGCGATCCCCAGGCGGCGCCAGTGCCGCTTCGTGCCCAAGTGCGCCTGTCCCTTCCCCAAGTCCATCGAAATGGTCCGTCCCTGCGATGCCCAGAGTCACACGCGCACCGAACAACTGGCCCTGCCCACGGTCCGCCGGCTGCTCCATCGGAGGAAGCTGGCCATCCTCGCCGGCGACCCGATCGGCGAGTCCATCCTGAACCGATGGTTGCGCTACAGCTACCTGTCGCTCTACAGTCGGCTCTCAAATACCCAGCCCCTAGTAAAACCGTAAGTTTAGCACCGATATATAAAAATTGAAATATAACCGCCAATTAGTATACAATCCTACCTTAAGAAGATATGAATTTAAAGAAACTACGACCCAATAGCATCCAAAAAGCATTGTATTTGTTTTTCAAAAAAACATGACCATGGTTTAATCTAAAAAATCTCTAAAGATATAGGATATTAATGCCCCTTAATAAAATTTTTCATATTATAAACAATATTATAAAATTATAAAAAATCAACAAAATTAAATACGTATACAAATTTTAAGGATTTGTCATCCCTTACAAGCTTTCCTTTATATTTATTATCCTTGATTTTCACCCCACTTGTAGAAAGAAAAAGAAGAAGAAGACTGAAAAGCAGTTGGCTAAGCACGAAAAGTATATTCAAAAGTTGGCGAAGCCAAAGGAAGCTCCAAAACCACCGAAACCGGTAAGTAAAAACAATAATTAAATCAAAAAATACATCAAAATATACTCTTATTTTTAATTTGATACAAATTTATTAATAATTTATTTTAACCCTAAATCAAAAGAACCGTAAACCTCCAATGTTAAACTCATTAATTTAATAAAAATGCCATTTTTAACTAATAAGCAAAACGTTATTTTGTTCCGGATAGGAACGAGCTGCGGGGGAGATCGACCAGGAGCGCCTGAAGAAGCTGGCGAGTCCCAAAGCCTTTGTGGAGGAGCTCAAGCCCAAATGGGAACTGACCTCCCAGATGAAGGACTACAAGGCCTCCAAGCGGCTCAAGCAAATATCGCAGCCCATCACGCGGGATAACGTGCACATCAACGACAACCCCGAGAAGGTTTCACCCAATGCCCTCAAATACAAACGTGAGTAGTTTCCATAAAAATATAGTAATATAGTAGTAGAATCCTTCATATTCAAAATATTAAAATTATTCATTTAGTTCTTTTAAAATTCATATTTTTTAAATATTGTTTCCGTTTTCTACAATGAAAAAATATTGATTTATGGAAAAACAATACTTAATATTTTTGCTAAATTTCCATTTTTTCTGAGAAAATAAATCAAGAAACACTCAAAAATTATTTCAAAATCGGTCAAATATATAGTCTCCATATCTAAGCTTAGATGGATATAAATGTGTATGTCCATCTGACTATTAAATTATTATCAATTACTCCCGGTACTTTTTCATCTGATTATAATGATGTCTAATTTGAATATCCCCTTAGCGAGTCCCCGCATCAAGGAAATGTCAGAGCCACTGAGGACGCGCGATGCCAACCAGGGATTGGCCGATGTCAAGGAGAATCCTTTCGGGATCGCCCCAAATGCGCTCAAGTACAAGCCGAGCACGCGCATCAAGGAGCTGGCGGAGCCCAAGGAGTTCGAGAACACGCACATCCGGGAGAATCCGTTCGCCATTTCGCCGGCGGCCCTGAAAGCCAAGGCCTCGCCACGCCTCATCGAATTGGCCAAGCCCAAGGGCGGATGAATCCATCAGAGCCTCTTAAAAATCAATACTGTTATATTTGGTGTCCTAAGATTTGCATTTTGGCTACGTTTGGTATCAAGTTTTCCATTAAATTTGTTTTTGGTTTTCTACATTTTGTGTTTTTTTTTAAAACAATGGATTCGAAGAAGGTCTTTCCTGCTGAAAGTGCTAGAGGATTTTTGAATAGCGATAGACCATCCTTCTACAGAATGGTTAAGGCACCTGCGATAATTTGACACTCAAAGCAAACAAGGATTCTCAATTTTTTTTCTTTTGTTTGTATTACTTAAAATTTAGACAGCTCAAACTGACAATGGCTTTTAAATAATAATTAATTTAGATTTGAGTTTATTGTTATCTTCCTCACAGCTCCAGTGGAGTGGGTCCACTCAAAGCCGTCCGCTATCAGTTAAATTGGTTTAGCAATATCATTTGTTTTCGTTTTTTTTTTTTTTTTTCAACAGGGTAAACATAATTTATAAGTCGGGCGTTAACTTGGATTTTTGTAAAATCAATATAGAGGAAAAATAATACGTAAATAATTACAACATAAGGATCAATGTGTTACTGCCAATTGGTAAAACTAAAGAATTCGCGACTTTGGATTCGGGGCGGGTCTTGGGGCTTTTCAATTGGACTAAACTTAAATATTCGCCGGAAATAATACTCAAATTAATGCACTGATGACATCGGGACAAATAAAAAATTGGACGTAAAAAGGAAACTAAGAACTTTCAAGGTGTTTTTTCAACAATTCAAATTTAGCTGTGGCAACAACAGAAACTGTCTAATGTCGATTATATAAGCGCCAACGTTGTTGCCCATGATGGAGAAGACTTGCTGATCGCGCCGGCGATGACAATGGTGCCCGTCTAGGACATGCTCAGGATAATGGCGCGGGTGAAGTCCTGCGTGGTCGACTGTCCGCCCAGATCCTTGGTGCGGACCTTGCCGTCCGTGAGCACCTTGTTGATGGCATTCTGGATGGTCTCGGCGTAAGTGGGCAGGTTGATGTGGCGCAGCAGCTTCGTGCCGCAGAGCAGCATGGCAGTGGGATTGGCCACATTCTTGCCGACAGCCTCAGCGAAAGTGTGACGTGCACCCTGCAATCAGAAATTGGATTTAGAGATAAGTGTTTTTCCCACTACTGTCAAGGGTGTCATAAATCAGAGCTTATGGTAGATTAGGATCCCAACAAAGAAATATTTGAAATGCGGATCAAACCAGCCGTTTTGTGGCCTTTTTTTAAAATACCATCTCAAATTGCAGCCTCTATCTTACCGGCTCGAAAACCACGGTCTCCGAAGAGTAGGAGGCACCAGCCACGACACCAGCACCGCCCACAAGTCCACTGGCCAGATTGTCCACGATGGCGCCATAGAGATTGGGGGTGACCATCACGTCGAACTGGTTTGGATTGGAGACCATCTGCATGGTCGTGTTGTCCACGATCATCTTCTCGAACTGGATGCGCGGATAGAGCCGGGAGACTTCTTCGCAGCAGCGGAGGAAGAGGCCATCGCCCAGCTTCATAATGTTGGCCTTGTGCACGGCGGTGACCTTCTTGCGCTGGTTCTTCGTGGCATAGTCGAAGGCAAACTTGGCGATGCGCATCGACTTTTTGGCGGTAACGATCTTCAGACACTCCACGATTCCGGGCACCGACTCGTGCTCCAGGGCCGAGTACTCGCCCTCAGTCTGCTCGCGGATAATCACCGTATCGATGTTAGTGTGGCGTGTCTTCACTCCGGGCAAACTGCGCACATGCACCACGTTGGCATAGAGGTCCAGATCGTTTCGGAGCTTCATGTTGAGGGTCTGCAGGTCACCCACATTGCTGTAGTCAGGAGTGGCCAAAACACCCTGGAGGAGATCGGTTAGAATTTGCCATGCTACTTGGTCTGGTATAATCTCACCTTAATGCACACTTTATTCTTCTGGATAGAGGCAACTACATCCTCCAGCTTGGCACTCAGCACCGGATTGATTTCGGAAAGGAAGTAGCACTCGAAGTCCACGGGAACACTGGCTGCCTAAAAGATAAGATAAGAATTAAGTACATATTAACTTGGTCTAAATATAGGATTTATTTTATTTTTGAATATTTGTTTTGAATGCAAAGATCTCTCATTTGAGTTGCACATTTTGACTACTACAAATAACGTTCTCTAGATATACAAAATTTAAAATTACGTTTAAAATTTGATGTTTAAAAAAGTATCATAAAAATCTAGAAATATTTCTAAGTGGCCACTCATCACATATCTTTACGGTGTAGATAAGTTGGACTGCTTTGATTTACATAATTAAAACACTCGTGATTGGGAAAACAAAATATAAATATAAATATAAAAACTGGCATAACCCAATACGGGAAATGTATTTGTATCCTTTCTATTTCATTCCTATAAATGGATTTTTTTAATTTAGGATATCTTGATAAATAACTTGATAAATAAGATAACTCTTTTTAATCTGCAATAATATTCTATGGTTCAAAAGTCTTTTTTAGGGCTATTGAATGTTGAATGATGTTTTGAATACACAAATGCTCATGATTGGAAGGATCTTGATGGATAGCTACCTTGAAGACCTCCTGGAGCGAGTAGACCAGCTCGGGACCCACACCGTCGCCGGGAACCAGTGTGCAGGTGGTCCTATTGGCGCCGAAGTTATCCTGCAAGTCGTAAGAGATTCCTGTTACCTCTTCGGCCTCCAAAATATCGCATGTAACTTACCGAAACCCGAAGCGCCGATGAGGTGTGCAGACTACGTGCTGCCGCAGCCTAAAAGAGTTGGAATATATATGGAGTTAGGGATCAGGCTAGCTAGGATTATAACCTCAAAAAAATAAGAAGAACTGGGCCCTCTGTGCAAAAATATTCGCTCAACGCGTCGCGGGCAAGTGTTTATGTAAGAGCTGCCGGAATCGACGGATATTTACCTGCATGAAGGTGCGTCCAACGGTTCTCGCCAGCATCGACATTTTGCTAATCGGTTCGCTAGATCTTCCGGCTGTTGCTCAAAAACCAAAAGTAAATCCTGTGGGCACGGGAAATTTGATTGCAATGTGATTTTTGCTCCGGTGCCAAAACCGAAAATTTCAATAGGACCAATCGACCACGCAAATCAGCTGATTGCCTCTGGCCTACCAGGGCTGGCTGGAGCCGCCCACGAAACGGGCTCAACCAGGGTTGGCTAATGACCAACTATCGACTGTTTTCGCGTACGAAAATAAATGACAAAATGTATTACTATCAAACATTAATTTTGTGGAGACCACATTGTATTGAGAGGTTGACTACTTTTGCTTTGTTTATCTTTTTTTTGGAAGTATTACAAATTATATATTCAAATCATTATTTCCATGCTATCAACTATCGGGCTTGTTCCATCACTACCGCCGTTTTCCCCTGAAATCATTGGTTAATCCTCAACTTCTGGCAAAACAAACACAGTTTGACTTTTTAGAAACAGACTATATAAAAACAGCAAAATATACCGTAATATATTACAATTTTTAATCATAAAATTAAATATAGCAAAAAGAGTTACCCAGTCAAATTTTGTTTCGTAGTGTTTTATTTCGTTTCTTTTTTCGATAAACTAAACAACTACAGGATTTATGCCTTAACTAATCACAATGTCCTTTAGGAACACTATCAAAAATTTACCAATTTTAGGATCAACCAGCAGCAGTATTTTTTTATACTAATTACTCGTTTGGTTTTTCGAAATAACGATCAAAGAAACGGAGTTTAGTCACAGGCATCAAACTTCGTGAAGACCTCCCCGAAATTTATTTTGTGTGAATTTAATAATGGCGTTTCTCTATATATAATTTGTATAATTGAAGCTAAACAAAATGTTACAAATATATATAAGTGTTTTTCTTTTAAACTGTGACCTCTCATTGGACAAATTACATATTGCTGTTTATCTTTTGCGTTTAGTGGCTTTCGTTCCGCCTTCACCCGGACTAATAACAAATAATAAGTGTATCTTTTTGTTTCTGGAGGAAAGGTATGTGGGACGTAGTCTACAAATACAAGAGGCCGCTGGCAGCTGCGTGGGCCATCAGAGTGTTGGCCGCCTGCTGCGTCTCCAGCATGAGTCGGGCCTCCTTTATCCACTCGCCCGCTATCTGGCGGGATGCACCCTGGAGCAGGTTCATGTACTTCAGCGCCTGCAGGAAATCGCTGCGATCCACATGGTACCTGTGTAAAAAATAGCAAAAGAATAAGTGTTTTTTACTACATCTTATGGTTCTTCTAACCTGGCCCTGTTTAGGATATCATAGGTGTCCAGTTTACTGTAGTCGAAGGGTTTGTTGTCGAGTTCGTCCTTTGATATGGGATTATCGGGCCGCAAGATGAACAACGATTGCAGATAGGACAGGAAATAGATGGGCAGACCGGCTCCATCCTCTGGCACGAGCGCAAGTCGTCGCGCCACGCGCTCCACATTAAGGAAACGCTCTCTCAGCGCATCCTCGGGATAGACACCGCGCTCCTGAGCCTCCTTTGGCATGCTCTGCAGCACGGCCGCCACCAGATCGTCGCCCTCTATAAAATATTATGATATCAGCATAGAGTTCATCTAGAAAGTACTTTCAACTTACTGGCCACCTTGGCAATGGCATTGATCTCGTTCTTCAGAGGGCGCAGCTTCTCCTTGTAGTGCACGCCAGGAGTGGCAGTGCGCACGGAGGCCCACAGAGCTTGACAGGCGGCCCACAAGGCCTGTGCCTGATTGGCAGTACGCTCTGCATCCGCACGCTCTGCAAAAATGTTAAAAATAGTTGATTAGCAAAAATGGCCTGGACCACAATGGGAAAGAAAATTATAGTATTGTTAAAATTGATCCCTAACTAAATAAAGAAATAATAAAGTTTTATAACTCTTTTAAATGGCATTCAAACTTATAAAATAATTGTCATCGTCATTACAAATACCGAATAAAAATAATAAACAATAATGAGTTCTCAAAACTATTCAAGAAAAATAAATGTATATATTCTGTGAAAATACCTTGAAACTCATCCTCTATCTCTAAAATATCAGCATGTTTCAGAAGTTTATGTAAACGATTATATTTCTAGCCAGACTACACTAGCTAAGTTCAAGGGAATAGTTCTAAAGGTTATAACTCACCTGCTAAAGCCGCATCCATGCCGCGCAGCTTGCCCAGCATAGCGGCCAGTTGTAGCTTATAGTTGGCCTTCTCGGTGGCCAGCTTGTCCTCCAGCTCGCGTTTGAAGCTGCGCGTGAGATCGGTCTCTCGCTGGGCCACGATGTCCTTGATGTGATCGGCGTGGGCCTCTGCCTGCTTTTTGAGCTGCTGGCGCAGCTGCTTGTCCGACTCGGCGTGAATGTGGAAGATTTTCTTCTGGTTCTCCACGGCCAGTTTGCGTCGCTCGGCCTCCAAATGGTATTCCAATTGAGCGCGCAGAGCTTCCGAATCGTTGTCTCCGCGAACCGAGTCAATGGCTCGCTTCAGACGCAGTTCGCCGTCGGTTTGCAGGCGCTGCAGCTCCTTTTGGTAGGCCAGAACATGGGTGTAGGCATGCAGAATGAACAAGTCAAGGTCCTCCTTTGACAAGTTGAGTTTCTTATCCGCCAAGCTGAGGCCGGGGAAGATAGACTCGATCTCGTCAATGAAGTAGTTGCGCGCCTTCTCCACATTGCGCCAGTACTTGTCCGACACGCTGGCAGTGTCCTTGTGGCGGTAGAGCTCGTCCTTGACGTTGCCTATATGATCCACCAGTTTCTTGATCTTGTCGCGCACTGCCTCTACCTTCTTTGAGTTCTGTGCCGTTGCCGCTGCACTCAGAGCGATCTCGCAGGCGACTGCAATGGATGTGGAAATAAACCAAGGTCTTTAAATACTTTACTAGCACTTTGCTTACCAATCTTCTCCTGGGCCTCACGAGCTGCACGTTCCGCTGTGGCCACTGCCGTGTCCCGGGCACTTGCGCGATTCTTAAGCGTGGTCCAAAGAGAGTTCTCACCATTCTCCACCGCCTTATCCACAACCTTACGCACATCATCATTGAAGCTGAAAAATAAATAAAAGTTAATATCATGATTCTTTTTTGGACCCGGCAAAATTAAAAAAATACATAAGGCAAGAGTTTTAAAAATAAAACAATTCATTGAAGGCCCTATCTATGATGTGTGCTTTCTATAATTAGGATTAAATAATATGCAATGTATGACTGAATTATCTTTGAATAAGAAAATTTTTCTTGCAGAAAATAATCGAAAAAAAAAACAATTTTAAGAAAAACTTTTTACAAAAGAAATTGCAAATTACAATTACACAAAATGTGCAAGAACTTGGATGGTTTTTTATTTTTACCCCTTCAACACGGCGATGGCGCTGTTGTACTCCTTCACGGCCAGTTGTGCGGCCAACTCGATAGCTTTCTCCAGCTCGACGACTTCGCGGGGCAGCGGATCATCCTTTGGCTTGGCCTTGGTCGCTGGCACTGTCGCTGCGACTGGCTTCTCGGGTTTGGCCACTGGTTTCGACTCCGCCTTGCTAACTTCGGTGGTTTTTGAGGGTTTCTTTTCCTCGGCAGGAGAGGCCTTCACCGGCTCCACTTTCGCCTTCTTCGCTTTGTCATCGCCGCTGCTGCTGCCAAACAGACCCGTCACCGTGGAGGTAACCGAGTCAACGGTGGAGGTAACCGTCTCGAAACCAGACTTGACCTTGTCGATCTGGTCGTTGACGCTCTTGGTGATGCCCTTAAACGGCGGCTCCTCCTGCAGCGCCACTTTGATAATGGAATCGGCACCGGGCACATTCTTTTCAACCAGTTTACGGAAGCCTTCGTCGTATCTGAATGAGATTTATATATTAAATTTAAAGTTTTATTGAGTCAATGCAAGACAGTATATATCAATAAAAAGACTCCTTATGTCAACACATCCCGTGTATTGCATCACGGTTTCTTGCGATTTTATGGAGTATCTATTTAATTAATATTATGGTTTATAAGTTAGTAAAATATATGGTTACTTGGCGTAGGTGATGACTCCGCCGACGGCTGCCAATGGAGACACGAAGAGCACAACTTTGCCGAAGCCAGCTTCGCGCATATTCGGTGGTGGCGGCAGGCTCTGGTATCCTTGATGTCCTTGTTGCCGTCTGCCCTGCTCCCTGCTTCCATTTCCGCTGAACTGCCTGCTGTTTGTGGTGCTCTGCTGCAGCGTACGCTGTGGAAATCAAAGGTAAATTATGAGGAATACTATTTACAGGACCTAGTTAACCCGGAGACACCCCCGCGTCCTGGGACAACTGGAATTTTGGAGCTTTTTGGCGAATTCCTGGGCTTTGGAGATGACATAACCAGCGCCTCTTGTTGTATTTTCGCCAACCGCTTGTTTATAGGCGCGCGGGGGTGGGGTCAACGTGACGATCGATTTTCACGTTATCAAACAGCTAAAAAATAATAGAGAAACTCACCTGCAGGGCGCACTTGCACTGATCTCGCACGGCTAGCCGATACATGGTGTTGATTCGCGTTGATCCTGCTGCTCCTGCTCCTGTTGCTCCTTCGGCTCCCGTGAATTTTAAGAGACCCGGCGGCGTGAATTAAATTGTGCCCAATTCGTTCGAAGCTGGCTCGACTGCGTCAGCGCTGGTGGGTGAATGGCTGGCCAGTGCTGCAGCTTCCTCTTCCATCCCACACACTCACACGCACACGTGTCCTGCGTCCTATTAGTCCTTTTTTGTTTTCGCTACGCTTGGTCTTTCGCTGGCTGTACTGGAATTTAATCATTCAATTTTGCTTTGTATTTTGACGGCAAAAGTGTTGGCAACATATACGCTTTATGCGATAGGCCAGTCGGGATACATTCGATTTAGGGATGGACGCGTGATTAATTTTTTTGGTACGTCACGACATACAGGATTTTTTGAAATATAAATCTAATTATCTCAAACAATGCCGAAAAATGTCAAAAAAAATAATACATAAAGAGTGAAAACTCTATTTCGTAATGTTCTTGCTTTTTAAATTCACTTTAAAAATATATTTTTCTCGAAGGCAAATTGTCAACAAATTATCAACTTAGCAAATTACTAAAAATAAGGTCCAAAAAGTTTCTGAATTGCACAGAAAACACATTCAAACTCTTATAAATATTTAGAAAATAACTAAAAGGACAATAAGAGAACAGTCTTGTTGTAAAATACTTTTATTGGGAATCCCCGTTATTGTTAGTGCGATATACTATTTTGAGGCACGACCTGTGCCCATCTCCAAAATTGGTAATTTGCGGCAGTGTTGTGTGGGCAAACAGCACTGTGAATGGCAAACAGCTGATTAACTGTTACGCGACTCAGGAAGAAGCAGAGCAGTTACGATCTGATTGGAATTTTAGATTTATTTTAAGTTTTTGGGGCTTCAAATAAATAAAATGTTAAGAACTTTTGTTACCAGCGGTAAGTGGTTGTATCTATGTAACTATCAAAGAATTGGGTTTGTAATTATCCTATAAATTACAGCGTTGCGAAGCGTTTGCCGACAACCGCCGACTGCTTCATCGGTGTTTTCTATGGTCCAGCGGACACAGCGTGCCAATTTGGTGACTTTATCCCGACCCAGCCTGCTGCCCGTTCCAACGCTGTCTTCTCCTGCTCCCCTACAGCTTCTCCAGCTGCCTGGAGGTCTGGCAGCTACAGGATCACCACCAACCACACGTAACGTGACAAAGTTCTCGCTGATCAAGGGAAAACGAAAGACGTCAAAGGCGGTTCTTAAGCGATTCAAGCGTTTGGACTGGGGAGCCTGGATACGCACCCATTCCGGTCGGCAGAAGAAGCTGTTCAAGAAATCTGGAGCCCTGCGACGCCGCCTAAAGCAACACGTCTTTACCAACGCTACGCAGAGCTGGCTGCTGGACAAGATGGTCACCAGCTTCTGGCGCCGTCCCAAGCATTATATCGCCGATCCCTACAGGCCCTATCACAGTCGCAATGAGTACTACGCCACACAGTCAAAAACCTTTAAAGTCTAACCTTGTTGATTAAATGATAATACTACAATTTTAAGTCTTTTTACGCTGGTTTCTTAAAAATTGGATTACCTTTTGTCTAAAAGATAAAACAACTTACAGAATAGAATGTTATTGTTAAATTATTGGGTTTACAAGGGTTATTTCATCTACTAAAAAAAGATACAAATCTAACCTCTTTACAAATAGTAAATAATATTGTTTATTTCTTTTGATAAAATAAGTATTCATTCAACATTATAGGTAGCGATTAAGTAAATACTTATTCTGCTGAAAATGTTCAACACTTCATTCACAAAAGTATCGTTTAACTTCATTATCTTTATACAATTAAAAACCATATGTGAAAATTAGACCAGGCAGGCAAATTGTAACGTACTTACAGTAACACCCATTTCCATTTAAACTCCAAACTCATTGATTAAATGCCATTGTTTCACAAAACAACTAATTAGTATACATGTATAACAAATAATAGGGAATGACCATCTAGGGGGCCACGATCTTGTTGCAGAGCTTGCCCAATCCTACGATCTCCGACTGAACGACATCGCCAGGCTTAAGGAATTCCGGCGGACTGCGGTGCATGCCCACGCCCTTTGGCGTTCCGGTGACGATGATGTCGCCCGGAAGCAGAGTGATGTTTTCAGTCAGCCGATTGATCACATCGTCCAGCTTGAAGATTAGGTTGCCGGTATTGCCGTTCTGTTTCTCTACGCCGTTGACCCAGGTCTTTAGATTCAAGTTGTAGACATCCGGCACCAGGCTCTTGTGCACCACCGCCGGTCCCAAGGGCAGGAAAGTGTCCATCGACTTTCCGATAAGGAACTGACCGCCATTCCGCTCCTTTTGCCAATCGCGGGCGGAGATATCCTGGGCCACTGCGTACCCGAAGACATAGTCCATGGCTTGGGATTTGGGCACACGGCGTGCGACCTTTCCAATGACACAGACCAACTCCACCTCCCAATCGATTTTCTGCGGAAAGTTTTCTGGTAATCTCGACGAGGCTATCTCTTGTTATCTCATATTCTACATACGTTGCTGGCCGAGTGAGCGATGACATTATCTTGAGGACCCACCAGGGCGTTATTGAACTTGCTGAAGAACATGGGTTCCTTGGGAGCCGGTTTGTTCTGCTCGTCGCAATGATCCTGGTAGTTTAGACCTGTCGAGAGATTGAGGTTTAAGATAAAATAATTTTGGAGGTCAAGGTCCACACAATCCACTTACCAATGCAGATGATCTTGCCGGGATCGGTTAGAGGTGGCAGCAAAGTGACATCATCGTTAACCTCGAGTCGAGGCTGCTTCTCTGACTTTTTGGCCAGCTCCTCCAGATTGGGATTCTGGGCAATCAGCGCCTTCAGATCACTTGGCACGCCCTCCAAGCCGGCAAACTCCACCAGCGACTTCTGATCCTCGGAAAGAAGACCCAGGCGCTTGGCCAAATCGCCTTTACGCAGGTATTGCACGAACCTCATTCTGGCAGTTTGCATTTATGACTGACTTAGGTGGATCGGAACGATCGGTGCTATCCAATTAGCTCTTTAGTGGCCAAACACGATTCTCACGTAATGGGGACAGCAACAAAAAGCTAAGCAAAATACTAGCGTTTTTAAATACTGTCCAGTGCTCTAAAGCGACAGGAAATTACACTTTCAAAAAAATATATGAAATTCTAAAAAATTATAATTTCTTTAATGAGTTAAAAATTGTAGTATTCGTTTAGAATTTAATTAATTAGTCGCCCAGAACATATCTTATTTTAAAAATGTTTACTTTTACACGTTGATTTTCACCTGAATCAATTTTTACCATAAATGTTCTAAAGAATGTAAATAAAATTTGAATGACTAAAATTATAAAAACATAAGACTTAATTTAAACATGAACTATTTCTGGTATATATTGGTAATTTCTGCCAATATATTCTGCAGTCTGATATCTTTAACAAAAAACACTTTTGTCTTTGGGTGTTCAGAAGTCAGAATTCAAAGTTTATTTGAGGCTAGAACAGGATTAACTACCGGAATTCGCTATTCGCCCCATAACAGTTTAAACGCATTCAACTACAACTCCAGTCGCATCCGATAACTTAAGCCGATTTTGTACAGATACCGATCATCTTTCTATCCACTCCACCTAGTCGCTTCCGGCTGACACTTTGCCTCCATCGCGGTCGCCAAACTTCTCGGACAGCTCGAACTTCCAGCGCATGTAAGCCACTCGCATCCTGTCCCAAACGTTATCCACGGAGTCCATGGCAGGACGCACGTCCAGCAGGGCGAAGCGGTAGTCTTTATCCACCAGACCGCCGTCGTAATAGTCGATGACGTAGCGCACATCCTTGCCGCACCGATCGACGATCCAGTCGTGTCTATCGAAAGGCAGCTCGTATCTAAAAGGGAGTTTAGGAAGGTTATTATTGAATAAGGAGGTAGAAAAGGGAAACACTCACCCCAGCCAGCTGCGGAAGCGGGCACGTGGACTGAAGTCCTTGGCTTTGCCGCCAAAGCTCTTGAGGCGCGGATTGCCACACTCCTTTGCGTGCAGCGCCTCCCACTTGAGCACCTCCTGCCAGGCCTGCTCGTTGTTGGCGTTGTGGATGCGTATGATGTCGCCCATATCCTTCTGCGAGACATCCTCGGTCTTCCAGCGCCAACCCTTGCGCAGCATGGCGTTCCAGAACATCTGCTGGCTGGGATACTGCCAGAACTGGACGGTGCCATCCTCGGTGACTTTGGGAATGGTCGACGTTTGACGGTCTGTGGGCAATGGGAAAGGCTGGTCCGCCGCCGGCTGTTGGTTGGCCGGTGGCATCATGTTCAGCGGATTCACATCGCTGTTGTCGTGCTGTACCGGGCACTCGGATGCCGACTGCATTTTGGGATGGGGTGGCACAGCGGAGACGGATTTCGCATCTCCGTGCTTCTGGTGCATGGGACATTCCGGCGGCGGGGCACCGGCTCCGCTCATGTACTTGGCATGGTCCACCGGCACATTCTTGGTGGCCTCCATGTGCACACGGGATATCGCTACATTGCCCATGTTAGCTGTGGATTGTTCAATAACAAAATCTGTGTCACGAGAAAATACTATTAGTTCTTTCAGTTGCGTAACTAAAAGGGAATGGAAACCCTCTAAATGCAAGGCTCCTCTGCCTGGACTTACCCGATCCTCTGGTTTACAAGTCTGGGGTCTGTATATCTGTTCCTGGAGTCAGTCGCCTTGAATTTTGATTGATATAATAGTTAGTTAGTTCATAGTTAGAACGTTGGAGCCCAAAATGCAGCAAGGTTGTGGTCAGGGTTGCCAGATCGCTGGGAAGCGAACCAATGTTTCAGCAGCGTGTAAATATAGTAAAAGTTTACAAAAATGAAAACACGTTCGTAGCAGATAGAGAGTATCGGCTGTCTATTGTCAATGAATAGTTTCTTCAAATTTATTTCAAATAAATTGAGATGAATACTATGGGAGATACGGATGTCAACACTTCTTGGCAGTGTTGGTAAATCTACTGCAGTCGTTAGCGTTTTAAACTTTTAAAATATAAACTAAAAAACTTATTATAAAATAAAGGGGCCTTGGAACTCTGAAATATGATATATTTAAACATATAGAGAGACAATCAATAAGAAAACTTAAAAATTTGATTTGTATGTTTGTGGGCTAGCTCAAAAACAATAATAAAGAAATGTATATTATACAGCAATATAAAATGTTGGGGTACATTCATAATCTTGTTATTCAAGTTAAATAAAAACTTAAATTTGCTTTATATAAATAAGAACATGAATTAATAAACATGAAGTAAACAACAAAACATAAATATACATTTTTAAAGACCCATTCTCGATTATTTTTCGAGAACCCTTGACAACTCTATCCTAGACGTTTTCCAACACCGACCACAGACCCCGAATTTGTTTTTGGGTAGATTTCCGATCTTTAGCTTGAAAAGTGAGTTAATACGGCCCAATCGGGTGATAAAACCTCAATATTTGGTAAACCGAAGGAGCACCCAACTGGCGGTCAGCAGGAAAAACCAGAAACGCCGGCGCACCTGCACTTCTTGGCTAGAAATTACCGCACAACCTGCGCAGCTCCTGTGATGTAACCACACCACAAACTGCCAGAGAAACATTTGTTATTATTATTGATTTCACATACTGATTCTGGCTTTCCCCCTTCAGCATGACCGCCGTGTTCCGCGTTGGCCTGGTGCGGCTCGTCAGCCGCACACAGTCGCCCAATCTTCTCCAGGCGCAGACGAACGCCCTGCCCGCCGCCTTCCAGAGATGCAGCATCTCCGGCAAGACGATGCGGGGTGGTCCCCGGGTGCCCAAGGCCGCCCCCTATCCGTACAAGACGAAGAAATACAGCTTGGTTAATACGTTCTTCGACAAGACGTCCAAGCGCTTCGACGAGAACTCCAAGGTGATCTGTGTGGAGGGACCCATCGCCGCCGGCAAGTCCAAGTTCGCCAAGGAACTGGCCGAGGAGCTGGATATGGAATACTATCCGGCCGTGGATCTGGACCTGATCTACATCAATTCCTATGGCTATGACATGCGGAAGTTGGATCCCCAGTTACCGCCCAGCTGCCGCAGCTACGACGTGCGCAACTTCTGCCAGGATCCCGGCCACGATCTGGCCGCCCAGTTCCAGATCCGCATGTACATGCTGCGCTATTCGCAATACATTGATGCCCTGCAGCATATCTTCAGCACCGGACAGGGTGTTGTCCTCGAGCGCAGTCCCTACTCGGACTTTGTCTTCATGGAGTCCATGTTCCGGCAGGGATACCTGTCCCGCGGCGCCCGTTCCGTGTACAACGAGCTGCGCCAGAACACCATCGGGGAGCTGCTGAAACCGCATTTGGTTATTTATCTGGACCTGCCAGTCGATGCCGTGAAGAAGCAAATTAAGGCACGCAACGTGGACTACGAGGTGCAGTCGAAGGTGTTCAGCGATGCGTACTTGACGGATATTGAGCAGCTGTACAAGCAGCAGTACCTCAAGGACATCTCCAGCCATGCCGAGCTGCTGATCTACGACTGGACAGCCGGCGGCGAGACCGAGGTTGTGGTGGAAGATATCGAGCGGATTGATTTCGACCAGTTCGAGGCGGACTCGCACAACAAGAAGATGCTCGACTGGCGTTTCCCACTGGAACCCGAGTGGTGCGAGGCCCGCATCAAGTACTGCCACGAGAAGCCCGATCTGATGAACTACTTCAATGTGCCTCGCTTCGACGTTCCCGAGCTGCTGCGCAGTGCCGACGACAGCAAAACCTGGCGGGATGTCTGGTACAATGTAAGTGCAGAGCTCCAACTCGTCCCTATTGTTTCTTTTTACATATATCTTGTTTTTCCGCCTGCAGGCTCCCGGAATGAAGTACCGTCCCGGCTACAATGCGGAAATGGGTGACGGCGGTCTCCTCACCAAGACGAAATTGGGTATCAACGAGGCCATCTAGAGGGTTTTTGCTATGCTTTTTAATTGAAATCATCTGGCGAAATGTGTTAATTATCTAATAAACAATCTAGTAAAATAATGGTAAAGCAACCTCTAAGGATAACGGATGTTCTATTTTAAATATGGATAATCGCTTTTGGACAGTAATATAAATTTATTTCTGAACTCACTTTGTGTATTATGTCAAATTGTTTTTTATGTTTTATTACCTTCAATTTAAATTAAATTTAAAATTAAATTTCATACCTTTCTTAATAGGCCAATAATTTAAATATTTTTTTTATACCGATTCAAAGACGAAATGTATGGTCATTTTAAAAATTAACTGACAAATTAATTTATTTAACTCCATTCTGCTTAAATATGAATGACTAAACATATTTTCAAACAATAAGTAAATTTCAGTTTAAATACTCAAATTTCAGAGATTAATTCGTTTAATTTATGCATAATGTTAGAGAATATTTTGTACACTTATTTAGCACTATAACCCTCGCTTGCGCTATGGAACATTCTGAAATCCAGTCTCCCAAGGATCTCCGATCTCCGATCAATCGCTGTCGTAGTCATTCTTCCCAGCACCGCCGCCTACAGCGGTGAGGGGGCGACGGGACTCCTCATCGGACCCGTAGACCACATCCTCGTCGGAGTCGTCGATCATGGAAATAGCTGGATTGTCCTTGGTAACGGCCAGTTCCGCCTGGGCAAAGCGTCCGTCCGGCGAGTACACATACGCCATGGTGTACAGATAGAAATTGAGCAGCCCGTAGAAGCACATGAACTGCGCCGAACTGCGATAGGTGGTGTTCAGTGAGGCCACAAAGTTGTCCTCGAGGATGCCGAAGCCAAAGCGACATGTGGTCACCGTGATGGATATGGAAAGGACGAACAACATGAGCAGCGTGAGAAACTTCAATCGCATATCTGTGGAAATAGATGGAACATTAAGGATTAAATATAGATGTTATAGAAATATATCTCACCGAAATAGGGCATGGACCGGAGTTCGGTGTATGCTCGTAGCAGAAGCAGTACCAAATACAGCACATACATGCAGCAGGCAATGTAGAAGAACATCTTGAAGCCCTGAGAATGGATTCGGATTTTAAAATTTACATAGCTTTTAAAGTTTGTGTACCCACATTGTAGTTCTTTGTATCTACAAAGTGACTGTAGGTGGGATCCCTTAGCTCATTGCACTTTTCCCAGGTGGCCAGGACGATGGCACACAGCCAGATGGGCAGGACGACGATCACTTTGACCAGGTAAAAGCGCACAAAGCTGCGCTCATTCTGTCGCAGTCCATGGTAAATGCAGAGCCAGAACATGAGCAGTGCACAGAGGAAAGTGGCCTGGAGAATGGCGTCCAGCATTCCTGGCAGCCAGGAGTTCATCAGGAAAATAAGCGGAAAGAAGGGATCTGTAAAGGAGAGTTTCTTGGTATAAGAACTACATAATAGGTTTTATTTTAAGCTGGGACTTACTATCATACAGCAGAAGCAGGGGCAACAGAACCGACAACCATCGCTGCTCGATTGACCAATCGTAGATTGGATATTTGCGCAAGGTGTGGGCATACCAGCACTAAAAATAAAAAAGTATTAGACTCAGTAACACTATAAAATATACGTTAGATAATAAACCTTAAATTCATAATTAGCAGAATAGAAATATTTTCTAAGAAATCAAAAATATTTTCAAGTTTTCGTAAATAATGGATTTTATAGGTTTTGTAAAATCAAAAATATTCGAAATAGATTGATAGACCACTTACTATAACTATGAAGGTAAAGAGCAGAAAGATGCACCTAAACCAGATCTCAATCTGCGTGAATTCCGGACTGTAAGTCTTGAACTAAAGTGAAAAATTAGTAAGCATAAAATAAGAATATTCCATTCACTCACGTAGAATGTAATGCTGCGTATATTGTACTTCTGGTGGAAGGACTCCAATCCGTAGAACCGCACTGTTATGATATAGTGGGCGTAGTCCAGGAATCCTAGATGCATCACCGTGAACTCCTCACAGTCGTTACGGACACAGACCAAGTGTCTTGTCCGGTTGTGGGAAACCCCCGAGCCCAGGACATTTTGGGGTTTGTGCTGCTCGTTGATTCCATCGATGGAGACACTCACCTGGAAACTCTTGTCGTAGCGCTCGTCTGGGAAATGGTTTACAAAAATGTATATCTCATAAAATATTATAATAAAATTTTTAATACTATTAACAATTTCAGTTAGAAAAACAATATAGGGGGTCGGTTTCGGAACACTCTTTTTGGGGATGTTAAAAACTAAGATTTTGCTTTCTATATTACAGAAAACATCATATTAAAAACTCGCCTGCAGTTTAGAAACAAGGATAAATGATCAAAGTATATAAAAAACTTACAAATTAAAAGGAATTCGAATTATTATTGTAATATTTTTTAAAAAATATTATTTAAAATTTAAATAATTTTGTATCCCTCAAGACCCACCATCGTTGTTGTCCGTCACCAGTTTGGCGATCAGCCACAATTGCTGGGAGTAGGTGGTGGTCAATGGTGACTTCATGGCAAAGGGACCTGTGGCCAGGACCGCTGGGCTGTGGGCCAGAGAGGTGTTAGCGAGGATCTGCTGGGCGGTCAGCGAGGAGGTGCTGGTGATGGGCGGTCCCGTCAGCCCGATGACGATGCCCAGGCCGAAGCAGGTGAAGAAGCCCAGGAAGACCATGACGAACTCGCGCTTGTGCATCGAGTAGAGCCGCATGTGGACGGACCGCTCGCAGCGGTCGTGGTGATAGGCGGGCGAGATGTACCTGCTGAAGTCGCTGAACAAATCGCTGAACTGCGAGAGGGACGACTTGAGGCGCAGCAGGAGGCCGCCGGACGGCAGCTGGTAGGCGTAGCCCAGGCCAGAGGCATCCGCATCCGAGTGGGGCTTGGCCATGGCCGCTGGCAGGAGTCTCGGGTGTCTGGCTGATGATCGGGGTCCTCCTTTCGCACGTCCTTCACTGCATCTCCTATCCTCCTTAGAAATATTTTGCAATTGTCTTTTTCCTGATTTTTGGCAGACCTCTTTTTATATCCGCTCGACGTTTGTGCGCCTTTCGTGGAAAATATCGATTTTGGCCAACACTCGCATATGTTTTGGCTTGCTTGTGGGGGTGGGTGGGCGAAAGTTGGGTGGTGGGCAAACCATCAGTCGAGTTGTTTGCATTTTCACATGCACTGCGCATGCCCACTCTTATCACAACCGAAGGTAAATAAAGACTAAACCCCACAAAAAAGGGGCTTGTCAAGCGATTATCAATGTAAGGACCAAATAAAGATAAACTTAAATATGAAATAAAATTTTTAAATATCCACCACAAACAGTGAGGCATCGCAGTTTGAACATAATATTTATACAATGTAATCAATTTACAAATCGGTTTGGCTTACATCTATCTAGATTATTTTGTGCGGAACATTAGTCCCAGTATTTGATCTGGCCATCCCAGCCGGCGGTGGCCACCTTGCTGGCCTCGTGCGGATGCCAGAGGGCACTGATGCAGACGCCGTCGTGCGCCTGCCATTTCTTGTACATCTTCGTCGTTTTCCAGTCCCAAATATAGCACTTGCCGTCGCCATCGCCCGATACCAGGTAGCTCATGTCGGGTGAAAAGTCAAGCTGGCAGGCGTAGCCAGAGACCATGTGCCCGGTGAAGGTCTTCTTGCGGTTCATTTTGAAGCGGTTGAGAGCAGAGAAGATGACAATCTTGTTGTCCAACGACTGGCAGGCCATCCACTTGCCATTCGGCGCCAATGTGACGGCCGGCATGGAATGCATAGTCGGATCGGCAATGTACTTCATGTCCACGGGAATGTCCCACTCCCAGATGCGCATCGATTTGTCGTCCGAGGTGGTCACAAACCGACGGTTGTCGTCCACAAAGGTGATGGTGCTAACCGACCCCAAATGCCGGTCGTATTCCTGAACAATATCTCCGCTGCGAGTATCCCACTGTGAATTAAACAAATAACAGAATTATAATTTGATAGCTATTTGTGTAGGAGTACTTACGCAAATGATCTTCTTATCGGAGGTGCCGGCCACAAACAAATGCTGCTTGCTGTTGTCAGGGTGGAACTTCACACAGAATGGCATTTTGCGGGTGGTGAATCGGGACACCACATCGCCCGTTTCTGCATCCCAAAGCTTTATGTAGCGATCGTAGGAAGCGGACAAGAAATTCGTGCCCCTGTTGTTCCACGCAATGTCCTTGATGGCCTGCCGATGGCCGGAGAAGGTGCGAATGCAACGTCGCTCGCCATACACCTCCCACAGCTTGACCCGGCAGTCCATCGAACCGGAGAGCAGGAGATGAGCGGTCTTGGGGAACCAGCGAATGGAGGAAATGCCCTTGTTGTGGCCAGACCATGTGTGTATGTGCGCCTTGGGCAGGAAGCATTTGGGTGGCGGCGCATTGGAGCGGAGATTGACGCCTAGATCGTGAGGAGCGTGAAGATACGAGCGGCCCTGGTAGTCGTAAGCATCCTTGACTGTGGGGGATAGAAGAAAAAATCGAATTTAGGATATTTATTCGGTGGCTATATGTTTTCCCCTGTTTTCCATCATACTCACTGTGCAGTGTGGACTTCTCCTCGAGCGGCTTGTCCTCGGGAATGCGTCCGCGCTTGTGCCGCTTGGACAGCAGCTCGTCCAGCTCGGCGCGTTCCTGTTCGTTGGGCTTGGCAACCGACACCTCGTTCTCGAATTTGCCCCATGGGCCCAGGAAGCCCTCGATATCCTCGGGACGATCATTCTTCTCCTGTTTGCGCAGTTTTTTCGCTTTGGGCGCCTCAAACACTGTCTTGCCATTGTCATCGTAGGCGGACTGCAGGTCGCCCACATACGATTGCCCGTCGGCCTTCTCGTCCACACTGGGATCCAAGGCGTAGCCGTATGTGTGAAATGTGCGTCGCTGATTCTCGAACTCGAAGGCATTGATGTGCGCCTTCTCTACATAGCCGGCCAGTGTGTTTCGCGGAGCCCGCTGCTGCATGGTGAGGTCCGGGTGCTCCGGACCCTTCACCGGCGCATACATCTCCTCGTAGCGTGGATTGTAGGTGACCTCCTTGAGCGTGGGATCCAGAGTTCGAGGCACCGCCGAGGCTCCAAGGGGCACCACCGCTGGCGCCGCACACACTGCAATTGCCGTGGAGAGCGAGTGCGTCTTGTCCACGGGCAGCAAATGAGCGGGAATGGCTTCGGTTGCGGATGCGGATCCGGATTTAGTAGCGTCCTCATGGTCCGATTCGCCCTCCGAGGAGCTGGCGTACGTCTGCAGGCCCAGCATCTAGAGGCTGCGCACGAACTCCGTGTACTTGTTGACAAAATGCTGAAGGTAGATCACAACCAGAGTGTAGAGCAGGAAAACAAAGACGTTTATAGATATTTCCATCAATTTTTAGGTTTTGTGGCCCGATTTGTAGAGATGGCATTCCGAGTCCTGCTATCGGTTATCGGTGCCATCATTAGGATAGTCGAACGGCCACACTAACAATCCATGATGACGAAATGGAAGGTGGTGCGGTTCAAATTAAAATATCTGTTGATTAAAATAATAAAATATATAATAAGTTTATTTAGCATAAACATATTATTGTTTTATATATTAGGTAAAAATATGCTTTAGTTATTTTTTAAAATACCATTCGTATTTGAACCTGAATTTGTATACAATGGAATTTTTTATCTAATGGGTGTGGTCTCACTACTGATAAGACAATGTTTGGCCATACGGTCATACTGAACCAGACAAAAAGTAGGATAGGCAACTTTGGATCGCAGTAAATACCACCGCTTTTGATCAAAAGTCCAGATATATTAGTCACGATGACGGGGGGCAACCACTGGAGCTACGACATCCTCAAGCAGATGGTCATCGAAGGATGCACAGTGGATGTGGAGGAGTTGAAGGCGATGCTCGCAGACGAGATTGGTTCGCAGCGGCGATTGGATTGTATCCGGTCCATTGAGGATCTAATCGACTGCCTGGAAAGGGCCGACGAACTGGCCGAGGACAATGTGGAGCCACTGCGTCGGATGTCCATCAATCAACCAAAGCTAATCGAGGCTCTGAACGGCTACACCCCACCGGAAAATGTCCGGGATCGGACGGTGAATATGTACCAGGAAATCCGATTGGCCGAGGAACTGCGTCAGCAACTCCGGATTGCACCGGTTCAGATGGCTCATCCCGCGGTTTCCGTAGCTGCAGCACCCACGCCTGCAATCCAGAATTATACCACTCCGGCTGCATTTACGGATCGCAAACGGACGGCTGTCTTCAAGAAAATATCCGAGGAACTGGGTCGCTATTGGCGACGTTTGGGTCGATCGGCCGGCATTGGCGAAGGCACCATGGACAACATCGAGGAGCGCTATCCGCACGATCTGAAATCGCAGATCCTGCGACTATTGCAACTCGTCGAGGAGGACGATTGCCATGATCCCAAGCACTTTCTCGTTCGCCTTTGTCGCGCCCTCGGCGATTGTGGTCGAAATGATCTGCGCAAGAATGTGGAGCGGATTATGTCCCACTAACCCTATAATAACCCACTCTTTAGGTTAGTTATCAAATGTTTGTATTTCAATTGATGGCCTGATAACAAGGGGTGATTCCCCGGCCATCGGTGATAAGGTTTGCGCCTTTAAGCCAAACCAATTTAGCAAACAGTGCTTTTGTTGTAATTGTCTAATCACCTGCATAATAATGTGTGGGTAGAATTTGCAATATGCTATCGAGTGTGTTTGTTATATATAAACGTAAATTTTGTTTATTAATAAAAGAGATTTAATTTTTAAAATTTTTTTATACTTTAAATCTTTTATTGAATAAATTCAATGTTATAAAAGTTTTAAAACCTATTCGACCAATGAAATAAATTGATAAATAAACGTGCAATAAACATTAAAACCGACTTCTCTATTAAGTTCAAGGCTATTCAATCAATGTTAGCCATGAACGGGGTGATTCCTTTTAAACAAACAAACTTCTTATCTTATGATAAGAAGATGTGATTTCCCTCGAAATTTTATTAGAATGATAAATGTCAAGCCTCACAAAATTATCAATTTTCTTATCAAGCAAAACCGGTTTATTAAATTCCAAAAATAGTGGTTTAAAAATACACCATTTGAAAAAAAAATATCGCTTGCCCCAACTATCGATGAAACCAGCTGTAAGTTATCGCGTTCTTCGGGGTGAATGGCAATTTAGCGACTGCAACACGTGCGCGCTTAGTTTTATTCGGAAATTCAGTTTTTAACCATTAAAGTGTATTAAGTAACTGAAAAACAGACCAGTCCAGCAGAATGTCGATCCGGGAGAAGCTGCTGATGAAAAAGATAGTGAAGCGGGAGAAGATGAAGAAGGAGCTCACCCAGAAAAAGGCGAAAAACAAGCCCCAAAGTCAGGAGCCACCCAAACAAAATGGCAATAAACCCAGCAATAAACCCAGTAAAAAATCGCAGAAATCAAGCAAAAAACATGTGGAGGAGGAAGAGGGTAAAACTTAAAACATATAAAATTCGTGTATAAGCTAACAGTTTATTTTCCACGCCGCAGATGACGATTTAGAGGAGGATTTCCAGGAGGCGCCGCTGCCCAAAAAGAAGCAACAAAAACAGCCGCCAAAAAAGCAACAAATTCAGGTGGCCAACTCGGATTCCGATTCTGATGAAGATGAAGACGAGGATTCGGAGGACGAAATCGAAGAAGAGGAGGATGTGGCCAGCGGCAGTGAAGAAGAAGAGCAGGAAGAAGGTTAGTAAAAGAGTAAAATCCACCTTAAATATAGTAGTATTATTTTTAGCAAATAGTCGAGGAAGTTAGTTACTTAGTTTCCCAACATAATGATGATTTAAAGGCGAATTTGAGCAGCTCTGGATCAGCGAGTTAATGCTGCCAAAAGCAGGCATGAAATCCATTTTAAAACCAACTGAATAAAATCAAATGTATAGGAACTAAATCCATTATAAACCTTAATTAACAAATTGCACTTTTTTTCAGATGAAGATGAGCCGGTGCCCGCCAAGAAAACCAAGCTGTTGCCCAACAAATCCAAGCCACAGAATGGCAAACCAGCTAAAGACGATGAGCCCTTTACCGTGGAATCCTCTCTAGCGGCCCTGGATTACCGGGATTCGGATGATCGCAGTTTTGCCTCCTTGAAAGGAGCCGTTTCCGAGGCCACATTGCGTGCCGTGAAGGAGATGGGCTTCAGCGAGATGACGGAAATCCAGGCGAAATCACTGACGCCCCTGCTAAAAGGACGCGATCTGGTGGGTGCTGCCCAGACTGGTTCCGGCAAAACACTGGCCTTTCTGATTCCCGCAGTCGAGCTGATAAACAAGCTGCGCTTTATGCCCCGCAACGGCACAGGCGTAATCATCATCTCACCCACGCGAGAACTGTCCATGCAGACATTCGGTGTGCTCAAGGAGCTGATGGCACACCACCACCACACCTACGGCCTGGTAATGGGCGGCTCCAATCGCCAGGTGGAGAGCGAAAAGCTGGGCAAGGGCATCAACATTCTGGTGGCCACACCGGGTCGGTTGCTCGATCATCTGCAGAACTCGCCCGATTTTCTGTACAAGAATCTGCAGTGCCTGATTATCGACGAAGTGGATCGGATACTGGAAATCGGTTTCGAGGAGGAGCTCAAGCAGATCATCAATCTGCTGCCAAGTGAGTGAGCATTAACTGAAAATCTCTCTTATACTAATATTATTTTCCCTGACTCTTTTAGAACGCCGCCAGACAATGCTCTTCTCGGCCACACAGACGGCTCGCATCGAGGCCCTGTCCAAGTTGGCCCTTAAGTCGGAACCCATCTATGTGGGAGTACACGACAACCAGGATACGGCGACCGTCGATGGACTCGAGCAGGGCTATATCGTCTGCCCTTCGGAGAAACGGCTGCTTGTCCTCTTCACGTTCCTCAAGAAAAATCGCAAGAAGAAGGTGATGGTGTTCTTCTCGTCCTGCATGTCCGTCAAGTACCACCACGAACTCTTCAACTACATCGACCTGCCGGTGACTTCCATCCATGGAAAACAGAAGCAGACGAAGCGAACGACCACCTTCTTCCAGTTCTGCAATGCCGAATCTGGCATCCTGCTCTGCACGGATGTGGCTGCTCGTGGGTTGGACATTCCGCAGGTGGACTGGATCGTGCAGTACGATCCTCCAGATGATCCGCGCGAGTACATTCACAGGGTGGGCCGAACGGCCAGAGGATCGGGCACTTCGGGCCACGCACTCCTCTTGATGCGACCCGAGGAGCTGGGCTTCCTGCGATACCTTAAGGCCGCCAAGGTGCCACTCAACGAGTTCGAGTTCTCCTGGCAAAAGATAGCCGATATTCAACTGCAGGTGAGTGCTCTTACTAAGTATTTTATAACTCCAAATTAGCAACATTCTCGGGAAGACAGATTAAATTTGTATGAAAATGGTAACGGAAAATGGTAAACTATCAAAATACCTTTTTCACGTTTTATTAGTTTTGTAAAAAGCTTACATATACAATCTTTAAAAAATTAAACCAACTTGGGAATAGTAAATCTTATACGTACCTTTTTTTATCCGTTGCAGTTGGAGAAGCTGATCGCCAAGAACTACTTCCTCAACCAGTCGGCCAAGGAGGCTTTCAAGTCTTACGTGCGAGCCTACGATTCGCACCAGCTGAAGCAGATCTTCAACGTGAACACGCTGGATCTGCAGGCGGTCTCGAAGAGCTTTGGATTCCTGGTGCCGCCCGTGGTCGACCTGAAAGTGGGCGCCGCCAGGCGGGAACGACCCGAGAAACGGGTGGGCGGCGGTGGATTCGGGTTCTACAAGCAGATGAACGAGGGATCGGCCTCCAAGCAGCGACACTTCAAGCAGGTCAACCGAGACCAGGCCAAGAAGTTTACGCGTTAGTTGTAGATTTAGGCAGAGATACCAATGCATATTGTAAATCTGCTTCTTTATTTCAGTGTGTATACATATAGGCAAAAAATATAAAACTAAATGTTTCCATTTCACGAATTCACATAACCATTTGGCCGGGCATCATCATCAACAACTCGCATCCCACTCGATCTCTCGATGCGGATGTGGCTTCTCCTTATTTGTGCCTTGTTTGTTTCAAATGTTTATTGTTGTCGCCGTCGAGTCGAGTTGAGTCGCCTCCCCAAATTTGGGCTATCGCGCTTTTTATTTCGTGTTTCGCCCGCTAAATTGTGCCAGTTTATGGCCCACGCTCGCCCAGTTGCTCTAAAACTGTGGCGACGTGCTGTTGTCCCAACTAATCGATAATCGGGCGCTTAATCAATTGCTGACTTACGGGCGCCCACCGCACATGCATTTGCCAATTGAAACAGCATTGGGCCGCGTTCAATTTTCCAATAAAACTTGTTAAACCCGCCCCGCTTTTACAAATTCCGTCACCCACATAACCGAAAAATGGTTAACAAACTGCAGGCAACCTTGGCTTAAACGTATTTTTCTGTTGCCATTTCTCAATGATTCAAATTTAAGTTATAATATATTTGATAATTGAAGACAGTCCAAAACGGCAAAAAAAATCAGTCTTTGTTTAAGTAAAATTAAAAAAATAATAACATATTTAAAACTATAGACTTTAATTGAATCCCGTCTTTTTGTCTTTCAATTTTTGTTTTCAACTTTGAAAGTAACTAATGAAACTATTTTAATAGTTTTTTGGATAAGTTAGGTGTGATTTGTGGAAGTATGGTATAAATCTTAGTTTTAATTTTCAAAAGCGATTTCGCTTTAGAATATTTTCAATAGTTTTTAAATTTTAATTTAGCTAAACTACTTCCAATATAGCATAATTGTAGTATGAACTTTTAAAGACGCTCGACTGTAAGTGCGCAGCGCTCGGCAGCCATCGAAATGTATCAGCAAATTAGATGTTGTTGGGGGCGTGGGCGTGATGAATGTTGAAGACCACAACGCCATACGCCCACACACACGTCTCCCCGCTGTCCCCTCCCCCCTTCCCTTGGCATAAACACTTGTTTCTAAAAGCCAAGCTAACGAGGTTTCTGTGAATGAAAAGCCAACGCGCTGGAGTTTACCCATTCATGCGCATTTGGCGGATCGTGGCTAGCTAACTTCGGCTTAGTCTGCGGCTTGTTGGATCTAATCAGCTGGGGTAGCACAATATGCAAAGTGGAAACTTTATGAATGGACTCGGAAAACGGAAGACGGGGGACTGGTCCGGTTCCACCTGTGGGACGCGGCGTGTGACACAGAAAATGCATTCGCACCGGCGACAAAAACGCTGGTAACAATATGAAAGAGATTTGGAAAAACGGATTTATCCATTTTAAAATATATTTTTTCGGATTCACTAGTTTAATATCGATGTAAAGCAGTCCATTAAAGATTAAAGTAACTGCACTATACAGAAAAAAGCAAAGAAAATATTGTTTTACCTTTAAAAATATGGTATACACAAGTCTTTGGTTTTTAATAACACGATTTTTGTAAGCTTTGGAAACAAGAAAGCTTGAAGTTTTCTCATTTGTTTTTAAATACAATAAGGTTTGAGATTTATAATATTTTAATATCTCTTAAACCGAAAGCTAGACTTAATAGCTGCTCTAGAAGGGTACAACAGTACAACAGTGCTAATTTTGTACCACTATGCATATTTTTTTAAAAAATATATTGTCTTAAGTATTCTATTTTAAAAATAAATTATTTCTAAACAAGAATTTAAGCAAACCACTTTGGACGTTTTAGTTGGCTGCTTGGCCTGCATATGTATCCATATATATGTATGTATATGATGGCGTATCTGAAAGATACTCACTGTTTGTGTGTGGGTGTTGCAGCTCGGCTTCTTTGTGGGCCTTAAAAACTGAAAAACCAAAAAGTTGGAGGACCGGAGGCGCCCACACGACCGTGTGCCATGCGTAATGGAAACAACTGAAAACTGGTTAATGGCCGACTGCCTGGCTTTTTGGCCAACATATTGCTAATTACACACTCTCACACCGAAAATTTCTGTGTCGGCAGTAAATTGAGAAAAAGAATCTTTAATTCGTCGTTTAATGCACAAAACCGTTAAATGTCTTGGCCGCATTTGCATTTGGCCCAAACGTGCAATGGACCAAAAAGGAGTCCCTGCCAGCAAAGAGTGTTGGCCTTCGCCTGGCGGTTTGTCGATTTGTGGAACCACTTCCTAATAAGCAGGCGAATTGGTCAAGAAATTGAAGTGCATTTCGAATGCAATATTTTGTTGTCCAAATAAAGCTGAATAACTAACTTCAAAAGGAAGCGATAAACAAAACAAGAGGGACAATTCAACATTTTTTAAATTTAAATTTCTTTGAAACATATGTATGTATTATATTTATCGACCTTAAGACATATGAAAACAATTTAATAACAATTGAAAACAATATAAAAATTTATTGTCATGTAACTTAAAAGCTTTTACTTAACAATTTCAAAATACATTTTATCTCTTTTAAATTTTACGATTTGTCAGTTTGAGTTAAGACCAATCGAAGTATTTTCCTCACCGCACTTTACAGCTGCTAAAAAACTTTTGTTTTGCGGCCATTTGGTTTTCCAAAACCGAAAGTGCTACCTAAAGTGACCTACTCACAAAGCCAAACACCACATACGACCCAAAACCGAATAAGGAAAATTCCAAAGCCCTAGAGAGATTAACGGCCCACGGAAAACTTGGCACTTTGGATCTGCCAGATGTCCAAAGAGAAATACTTGGCAACGTGGGTGTGCGGATTGGAAAGGGCTTTGAGATTTGGTCTTTGCACCAGAGATTTGAATCGGAAATCCATAAGCATACAATGTCTCAATCGCCACGCACATTGACACATATTTCAATGGCAGTAAAACTGTATAATGGGGCCGTATAATATAATGTCGGCCCACACACAGACCCATACGATCCGATCCGATTCGATCGGTCTGAGCCAAGTGCACACGAATTTGGTGGGACTTGTGGCCAGGCTACGAAAAACTTGGCCAGGTGAGGTCCGGTGGTGGGCGCCTGCTTTCCAATGGAATGGCCAATCCAATGTCCATCCATGTCTTCCTCCACACCAAACTTTCACGTCTCATTTAAGTGCATGCGGGTGCTGCTGCACCGCGAATAATTATCACAAGGTTTATCTGATATTCGTTGTATTTTCATAGCAGCTGCGAACCAACCCAATATCAACCCAATATTATAATAATATAGTTTAACATTCAAAATACATTGTTGAAATTAGAATTTATACAAATGAGTGAATGTTTGTTTTTAGTATTATATAATTTGAACACTATAAATATGAGATTTTAAGATTTTTTATTTTATAAGAATTTCTAAAAAATCGTTTTGACTGATAAATAAAATATAAAATATTAAATGACTTTTTTAAAAGAATGTTGTTTTTATAAATATATTCTGTGCACCCGAAATATTTTCCCGGTGTGGTGCTTATGTGAAATACGCCGAATACACGGAAGCCAGCGAAAAGTGTCTTTTTGCGATGGAAAGTAAAAGTTGTCGCCGGCCTAGGGTCGCTTTATATGGTGTGTCCATCGAAATGCTCGCGAATGCCAATTTTCCCACATACATTGTGCGACGAAGTTATCCAAGTTAACACCAACATTTGGCCAGTACGGGTTTAGGGGGCTCATTTGCATGGTGTTTTGGACCCAGATGCTAGCCCCCGCATATGTGTCCGGCAAAACAAAGTGCCGCTCGGTTCTAATCTGCCAGCAATTTCCGTGCGCAATTACTGCCTTCGCTGCAGGCTGTCTTAATTCATTCAAATTCAACGCCAACGCGCCAAGTGGTGGTTCACCCAACGACCAGGTGGCAACGCCGGGTGTTAGTGATTAACTAACTAACAAATCAAGCAATTTTAATCTCAAAATGAATCACATACTTTTGTATTCACCTGCTTTGGACATGTTTGGCCATTTATCAACTTTATTATTCACAGTTTAGGGCAAAATATGTGAAATAAGTTAACCAGCTGCGCAACTCTGTTTATAAGGGGTGGCAACGCTAGTGAGTGATCTTGCATGCTCGTAACGCGGTGGCGAGAGAACCATGCTAGAGAGACAGTGACGTCACAAAGTCTAAAAGGAGTGTATTTTGTATGGGAAATTTAATAAATGTTTTTGTTATTTTAGTTTTGGTTAATTAAATCCATAGAATTTATTTTTAATAGTCTTATGTAATGCATGTGGATTTTTAGAGAATATTTTTGTATAAATAATTATATAATTTTCAATAAGAAAGTGTAATATGTGTTAGTATAATTAATAAATATTTAGCAAAAAAATAAAAACACTAGTATGTTAGGCATAGAGTGGAGAAAGATATAATGTTGTACAATTTTCAGTCTTAATTCAGTTATTTCAAATAATTTATTGATACAAGTCAAACTTTCTGACGTCACGAGCCGAGAGAGCGGAGAGATCAATTCACAATGGAAACGCCACCCCGCGATCGCACAGCCATGATCTCACACTTACAACGTTTTGTGCTCTTCACTTCGCATTCAGTTTCTTTTTCTCTTTCTTTGCGCACGGTTCAGTGGTAGGAAAACTAGGAGGAATCGTTTAGTAAAGTCCCGAAATCCGTTCGTTATTCCTCGACTCGAATAAAACCAATATACATATATTAAATAAACAAAAGTAAAAGGAATCCTCAGAGAAGTGTGTTTTATAAACTTTCAAAAACAAAACGAAACGAATAATAAAGCCAAAAGCCATCCAGCAGCAACAACAAATACATAATCAGCAACTGTGCATATTTCTGCGAAATTTTCAGCCATTTAAGTCACTTTCAATGCGCTTGGCCACTCAGTGAATATCCAGTCAAAGGAATTTTACCATTTCTACCCTAAAAGCACTAAATATAAAAAGAATATTTTGCATATTAAAAATATTTAAATATTTTTTGTTGTATTTGCTGTTGCAGCAGCCAAATGAGCGAGGGAGAGAGCGAGCGAAAGAGAGAGGCAGCTATTTTGACATTCTGCTTTCATTCATCTCCGTCGCATATATAGTTTTACTGTATATTGTCCGTGTGTGCGTGAGCGATCGCCGAGGAATTTTCAGTCTTTGCTTTGCGCTCTCAGTTTCTCGCTCTTTCTCTCTGCGTTGTTGTTGCTGCATCGTAAAAAATACTTTTTGGGTGGAGTTGTTTTCATTTCGTTTTCCGTTTTGAAAATTGCTCGCGAACAAAAAACTTAATGAATTTCCCAACTCCCACAGTAACGTGTTAAAAGTAGCAAATTAGTGTGCAATCAGTAAAGAAAGCAGAGACCCAAACAAAGTTTGAAAGTTGTAAACCAGAATCTCGTCGAGAACAAAACAAAAATCCCCCCCAAAAAAATCAAACACACACACAGCAAAAATGAGTGTCTGTGAGAGCAAAGCCGTTGTGCAACAGCAACTGCAGCAGCACTTGCAGCAACAGGCAGCCGCAGCAGTTGTTGCGGTGGCGCAGCAGCAGCAGGCGCAGCAACAGGCTCAAGCCCAGGCTCAAGCACAGGCTCAGGCTCAGGCGCAGGCTCAGCAGCAGCAGGCGCCGCAGGTGGTGGTTCCATTGACCCAACCCCATTTGACCCCGCAGCAGCAGCAGCAGAGCACACAGAGCATTGCCGACTATCTGGCCCAGTTGCTCAAGGACCGCAAGCAGCTGGCTGCCTTCCCCAACGTCTTCACCCACGTTGAACGACTCCTGGATGAAGGTAAGTCGATCATGCCCCTTCTGCATATGTCTGATTTTCTTAAAAGTCAAAAGTTAGATATTCCCTTTAGGTCTCAAATTTAAATCTAACATAAAAAGATCCGAAGATATAAGCAAAATATCATGATTGGTTAAAATGGGCTTTGTGTTGAATACAAAGCACGTTTGATGAAAATATGGTAAAATATAAATATAAAGATGCAATCTATTTTTTTTACAATTTAAATAGTGGCAAAAGTAGTAAAAACAATTACTTTATTTAAATTGGCAGTTTTTGTATTGCACAAGTTAGTGAAATTAAACTTTTTTCTATAATCAATCAAAATTTCCATAACAATACATACGTTTAAACAAAGCTTACTAAGTATTTTTAAATATGATTTTTATTTATACAAATTGACGTAATTAAGGCTGAAAAGATGCTGATGAAGCATTTCTAAATTTCAGTTCGAAGTATGTGAGTCTGAAAAACTACAATAACAAATGATATGATCCATTTCTGATTTGTATCTTTTTTATTGTTAGAAAAGCAATTGTAAAGCATTTTAATTCCTAGAATCTTGCGAGATTTATTATAAACATTTATTACACAGACTGAAGGCATTCAGAAAACCGATTTCATTTGGAAAAATCAGTACGGTATTTTATTTGCGTGTAAAAGATCTTATTTTTAGTTAGTGACTTCATTTGTATTTTGGGTACTCGGCAGTGTAGCAGTTGTTGGATAATCCTTAAAGAGTGATCACTGTAGTTCAATCAGTTTTGGGGCATGGAAATCGTAGTGTCTGGTTTGTCTCTTCGACGTCTCCTTTTCGCCTCTTCTCCATCGTGGGTTCTGAGTTCATTCCACCTTACAGCGGAGGAACCCAAACGAGATGTTTGTTATTTTTAGTTACTTCCTTTTTGTGCGCCTCTTCGCGAGAGCACTCTCTCCGCGTTCATTCCCTCACTCTCTCCTTTTGTGTTTTTGGCCCCACACTTGACTGCCCTGTGCAGCATTTGTTGTTCTTATTATGAATTCTTTGTTGACTCGGTCGTTCGTACACAAAAAATAAGGGGGATGGAGAGAAGGATTTGAATCCCCAGGGGGGAAAACCCTAAACCAAAAGTAAAATTTATAATGAAGATCAATTAATTTTAATATTTTTGATCAGATAACTGTATTTAAATTTGATTTTTGAGAGAATTTTAAACTTTTTCCCAATTTTTTTTTCTGTGCACTTAAAGTGTAGCAAAGTTAACCGAAAGATGCGTGAACTACCGCCACTGCCCACGCCCGTCCCAAAAACCAAAGAAATCAAAAAAAAAACAATGCAAACACTCTTAAAGACAAACCAACAAAAGTCATTTTTCGGGGCGGAAAAGGGGCGGGGGCGTGTCACTACCTGGCCGCATCTTGTATCTTGTATCTCGTATATCGCAGCTCTCGTTTCTGTATTTGCCCAACATCTGTTGCCCATATGCAGGCCGGTCACGAGGGTGTGTGTGTCGCCTCGTAATGACAAAATTATGTTGCACAGATACAAAGATTCAGATATTCGTAGTTTGGTATTTGCGGATTGCTAGGTAACGCTATATTGCCAAAGTATGCGCTTGTAGTGCAAAAAACTCAAATTTGATAATTTCCTCCTATTTAAAACAAAGTTATAGTCAATTTTTTAAGTTCAAAAGATTATACTTAAATTGCATATTGAATTGCACTGTTTTTTGTAAGGTTTAATTTCGGGACAAATATTTAAAAATGAAAAATAAAACGATTTTATTAATAGAATCAAAAGCATTAATAATTAATTCTATCTTCCTCTATAATAAAAATTAAAAATTCAAATTTGTATGCCTTGATAAATTTGTTTTCAAGAATATTGGAATTTAATCTACATTTAAATACCACTATTAATCGAATTATGCCATTGCAAATAATCTTAATAATAAGATGCAAGATCTAGATCTTTTTTTCAATTCATTAAGAAAATATCTAAGAACTCTATGGCCTTATCCAGACCGATCAGATTATTGATTACCAGGTATCATATAGTTGGAAAACTAGCCCAAAAGCACTTATTCTTGTTTTGGTTTCGTTTCTGGCATAGCTGCAAACTAGTTTGCCTGTCTACAAATTGTATTTGCTAAAAGCAAATCGTTGACAGTTTGTAAAACTCGTTCCACCAGACACAAAATTCCGAGAGGAAGAGAAAAATATACAAAACAAACCGAGATTTCGAACCCAGCCCGCTGGCTTATCAGCTTAGTGGGTGTCGGACTGGATTTGGGACCTGGGAACCCGGAGCGACCGCTGTCCACTATATAGTGGCTATATCCCAACGCTGCTTACTGCGACCGCTAACGGCTTTCAACTTTTCAACTTGCTAGAAGTTTTTGTGCTTTTCTCATTTTGCAACTTTCTCTTTTCAATTGCTGTCGTCGCTGGGTTGTGTTTTTGTTTTCGTTAGCTTGACATGCGGGCCAAACTCAACATTCACATGCGGTCGGCGGAGCAACCCAAAAAGAGTTTATGCTTCAGCCTTTTCCCAGAGGGTATAACATTTATTATTGTCTCGACTTGAATTTTCTATGTCATTTCGTTGATTTGTGACAACGTTTCAGTGGATTTATTAGTGTATATTTTAATTAAAACTTTAGTGGTCAAGGAAAGCGAAAAATAATAATAATGCAAATTTTAATATGATCTAGATTAATTAATTTTAACTTCTTGGCATACAATTGGTTCATAGAACCATCGCCTAACATTGACTGATTGCTTAAATTAAATATTGGCACCCCTTTTAAGATTGTAAATTGTTTTCAAAGCTTTGTCATTTTATTTTAATCTTTCATAGAACATACAAGCAATTGTTGACTTCATATGAGATTGTTACTACAAAGGAACAAAAACAAATATTAAATAGCTTAAAATATTTTTGAAATTTACCTGCATATACTCAGGGTCTGTCTGAGATATTGCGAGAGATCTAATTAGGTTCCTGCCTTACCTCAAGCAACGCTAACATCAGCAATAGCCGCTTTTTGAGGTTGCGGTTGCTGTTTTTACTTCTGTTTTTTTTTCTGATTTTATTATTGCGGGTGTGCAGCAATGTTTGCTTCAGGTTTGGGGCTTGGGGTTCTGCTCGCAATCATCCATTGGCTACCTGTTGGGCGCTCGCCCGTCACTTGAAATGCACAGCTTGTGATTACATTTGAATAGCTGTCTGTGTGCAAATATCTATGTATTTACCGTGCGTTTCACAGCTGTAAGGCATTGCAAAAAAGTCGAATTAGTCTAAGATTTAGGAGATCTAACACGTTTTTAATATAAACATTCAATAAGTGATAAAAAAAAAAACAAAATCCATTTGTTTTAAATTCGCGTGCGATACATATTTTTGCGAGTCAGAAATTTGCATTTATTCTGGATTTTTAGACTTCTTCCTGATAATCAAAAATACAATCGAAAAAGTATTTGCTGTTAAATTGTGTATATTGTATATTGTGATTTAACACTAAAACGCAAGGAATCTAGTTGAAGTATATAATTGTATTGACTTATGGCATATAACTGTTAAATATTAATGGTCGACAAAATACAAGGGAATTTCGATTTTAAACTTCTCATCTGCTCTTTGAACTGGAATCAATCGATATCCTATACTCACGAAACACACATTACATTTATATATATTCCTTCTGTTTATTTGCCGCCTTTTTTTTATCTTCTTCATTTGTTCGACGCTTTTGGCACTGCTGACATAAATTTTTGTTGTTATTTTGACGAGTGTGTTGTTTGCTTTTTTGATCTGACTCACGCCCCAAACGAAACAAAACGAAGAATGAGTTTTGGCCGCCAGCGAGCATTCGCATTGTATCTGTTAGATAGCTTTATGACACACGCCGCTGGAGCACGTTTCTTCGCCCGAATCTGTATCTCTATCTCAGACGTATCTGTATCTGTTGCTTTTGCTGTTCGGCTCTCCGCTATTCATAGTCGCCGCATTTTGCACAGTTGAAGTGTGCCTAGACTGTGTGAATAAAAAAAAGAGTCGACGTCAAGAGGCCCGAGCAGCTCTCCGATCTCGGATCTCGGATTACCGGCGACCAAGCATAACTGCACGTACTATATCGCACTCGGAGATATCATTTTGGTCTCGCAGATATCACATCTTCCGCGTGACGTTTGTTTACCTGGGCAGGGGACAGCAAACAGCCTCTTGATATGATAAATTCCTAGTTTTTGTTTTTAAATTCGGTGGTGCCCACACCTGAGCGTTATAATTTTAGAAATTGTGCGCTCTGTTACTGCAGGCCAAGGTGTATATCTGTCAGATACGCATCCAAGTCTGTATCTTGTGCATCGAAAAACCTGCGAGATAAAAGCCAGAAAGAGCAGACCAAAATCAAATTACGTACACCCGCAACGTGAATGTTTATATGGCCGATATATGTTGCTATATATATACACCTATATATATATATATGCACAGAATCGTGTATATTTAGTTGGCCGAGTGTGTTTCTCGGATACAGAAATTTTTCTCTTTCACTCCGTCCGACATTTTTCATGAAAATTTGAAATGTGTTTCATTTCATCTAAATTTAGATTATTGGAAAATGGTTTTTCGCCTGCCACCATAGCTGTTGGAATTTCGTTTCGTTGGGTTTTCACCGTTTTAGGGCGTTGTTTTCTTCTGGTCAGAAATCCAAATGAGAGGCCTGCCGATTGGCAGAGTCATTAAAATCTGAAATTGAAGTGGCTCGTTGACATTAATGCGGCTGCTGGTCTTGTATCCGAGTTGAATGCAAACACAGCGAGGCTGAAAGACAAACAAATGATTGAAAATGATTGGCCCATCCTCGCTTTGTAAAAGATACATTTGCGCCGTTCCATTGATCATCCAGCCTTACGATCGATTTGCTCATTATTTAGTTGAAAGAAAAACACACCGAAAAGAAAAATGTTGGTTTTAAAGAAAAAACAAACAAGCATTTCAAATTTAAAAGTTTTTAATT